GATCCTTGATGTCCTTTTTGATGTGGTAATTTTCCTGTAGGCGTTCAATATTTGTTGCAAAAGGGAATGATAACCCTTGTTTGCTTAGAACATTTCGTTTAATATACTTCAGCGTAGAATTCAAACTACGGTTTGGACTGCTGAATAGCCTTCTAGGTAGATCAGACACGCGCCCTTGCCCGTCAAAATCAAAACAAGTAATCGGGTAAATAGCGGTTCTATAATTCATCATAAATTTAAATGTAAATCGTTACGTAAACAAATATTACCACCCGGCTATTCAACCAATAATTGTTCAACCAATGAAATCTCAATTACAATAAATAAAGAAGTTGATAAAAGACGCGCGAAAATTAGCGGTCACAACAAATGAAAGCTATTCTATCCTGACTGGATAGAACACACACAAAAGGAGGAGCAAATCAATATGCCTGCTGCCAAGAACAAGTGTCAAGTAAAACAACGTAGATGCAGTTCGAGAAGAAACACAAAAACTTAGTGAAGGCGTGATAAAAATAAAAACTATAATAAAATGCAAATACTAACAATTCAAATGTAACCAAAAAACCAACAATGTACAACTTAGGGGGTCAATAGGAACAAAGTGCAAGTATATATATGGAGGGATTTTTACTCACACAAGACATTCAAAATGGATCTTACATTCAGTATATAACCTCTATGGTTCTATGTTGATTGTACAATTGGACATTAGTGAAGTTTTCAGATCAACCTTTCATTGTGTTTAGATAGCTGCATAACCATCGCTAGGTTGTTTTTATTTATTTTCTTTTAATGTATTCACGACTTGACAACAGAACTGTTGGTACATGATGGAAGTGACGTGCCCATTCTTGTTCAAAGTTGATTTTATTTGATATGGACTATTTCCATCCCGTAGTGTTCAAAATTTCGGTCTCTAGATGTATTCACTTTTAATTGTGATTCATTCAAGAGGAACAGAACAACGAGTATTGGAAGAAGAGTAAATGTTGCAGCATTATTCACTACAATTAATTCAGTTGAAGGTAGTAACCAAAACGCACTGGATTCATTTATGACCGTATCAACAATAAATTTATATCAAACCATTAGTTTGCTTGGAAGACTTCGGAAAATTCATATCTAATTCGTTTTGGCTGAAGGCCTGAGCAACGCGTATCTTATTATTTGGAAGCTAAAATTAAATTCATTTGAGTAATTATTTGATGTCGTTAGTGTTATACCCCTATAAGAATTATGAATGGTAAATGTTGAGACACATTTATGGACAAATACTATGAGTATATTTTTGTCGTATTATCGTTATGTAACTAAACTATTCATATTCACGTTCCTCTTATTATGAGATTTATTTTGACCTATGAACCATTATTATACGATTCGCCATTCTCGAGTTATGGCCTGTCTATTAATTACTATTTCGCTCATTCACAGTCACATTTGGCTAATTCTTGTACACATATTGTTTCATATTTTGTGCTACGTTGTGGTCTGTCTGGTTGACATATAAACCCAGTATGTTTGAAATAAATGATTCATACTGCAGAGGCTGAGATTGGTGTCCTGGACTCAACTGGCTGGGCTAGGCGGAAAGCAGGACCAATCAGGACTCTAGGCTGCTAGCACGTTTTTTATGCGTCACTGGTTCGGTCGATAATTCGCTGCTCTCTGATTAGTGGTATCGTTGCGTTATACAACAGGGCACACAGGTTCACAAGTTATAACACGTAGGATCTTCTTTACTGAGGTAATATTACTAAGAACGTTCCGGAACGCCGTCAAACCGGTCTGGCTAAACTGTAGTCAGAACAAGAGAATTTTTTAGTCGCTGATCCCTAATCTACACTTAACACATAAGTAAATTCAATATATTTGCGTTGTGGTTAGCAATGGAACCAGGAAGGCAAGATTTGCCTCACTTGAAACTCGCTAAGCGGACGTACCTTTATCTCAAACTTATACCAAGTAATTATTGCTTCAAACAATTATGAGTTACTCAGTGAGCTGTTGAGTCCAGACAGCACCAACTTTTTCAACAGTTGTGATATACATATAATTACTAGGATGGGTTTGAGCTATCCGATTGTTGAAATGCAGGATTGAATCTTGTTTAGTCTTTGTTACTACATGTTAACTCTGATTGAATTGTCTCGTTACTTCTATCCCGATTCATGTTTAATCACATTTGGTTGATAGGGAGTTTATATGTTAAGAAATGCTGATCAAGACTCACTTCTTAACATCGCCAGAGAAAAAAGTGTAAACCCTTACTAGTAAACCGATATATTTGGTATAGGTTTAGTGGATATAGGTTGTAAGTCAGATAAACGAGAGCGAATCACACGTTTCGTCACTTATAGCCTAGACCAAGTGAACTTAGCCTTACCTTACTTTACAAAAGTCTACATAATAAAATCACAGTACATCGCAATACTTTAAAATTTCCTTAAATAATAATTATAATGTTCAGAATTAGGACATTGCATTAAGGATAACGAACACGTCAGCCAAATTAAAATCAACTTTCTTTGTCACATGCTACGCAGGTCTCTGGAATAGGTTACTAATAGACATCTGGTCAAGCCAAACTCTTACTTTATTCAAATCTCCCCCTAACTGCTTTATGGAACAATTTGAAGTTTCTCGTGCATACGATACAGCTTATCTAAGTCAAACTATATTCAACGATCCTAACCAACATATAAACTTGTGGATAGACGACCGATTGACACCTTGTGTTCATAACACTAGTCACAAATATTTTACCCCCTAATATCATCTGTAATACAAAGTCTATATTTCGCAATCGCAAAATCATGTGCTTTATACTTTTTTCTTTCGTTATATACTTCGTATTCGTTTTTCATATCTAGTAAATAACCATGTCTCTTGAGTCTTCTTTTGATCTCCATAACATACTGTTTAACTGTCGATGGTGTCGCATACAATGAGTTTTAAAATTACCTTGCACCACGACTCAATAAAACTTAATGAGACTAGATGATATTCGGATGGAAAATGGGAAACACTCAGAAAATGTCCATAAGAACCACCATCAACCATAACACTGCCTAGAAAACATTGATGATGGGGGTGATGATTTCAGTCCACCTATTTTTGTGGGGCAAAGGATTTGGGTTGTCTCTGGCGCTGTATGACTGGTAATGAGACAACCATTGAAAAGATACTGAGATTTCTTCCCTCGCATTTGCAGCTTCTAGGACCCATGTTTTATGCCTTATACTGGTTTCGCTAGTTAACATGCATTAGTGATGAAGCGATATGGGCATCTGAACAATTTACGTCACTGTTAGTTCTTGGAAATCAATATGCAATTACCTCACTTTACTCTTCGACGTTTAATCTCACTGTTTCCATGCGTTAGGTCCCAATAAACATAATGAATGGCAACTTTGGGATCCTTTTGTGGGCCAATACTAAATTTATATTTTTATCGTATAATTGTTAAATAACTAAACTATTCATATTCATGTCCCTCTTATTATAAGCTTTATTTTGACCTATGAACCATTATTAAACGTTTTACCATTCTTGAATTATGCCTTATCCATTAGTCACTGCCTCCCACATTCACAGCCACATTTGGCCAGTTTTTGTAATGTTATTTTTCATTTTATGCTACGTTGTGGTCTGTTTGATTGGTATATAAACTCAGTATGTTTAAAATATAAGGATTAATATTGAGGAGGCTGAGATTGGTGTCCTGGACTCAACTGGTTGTGCTAGGCGGAAAGCAGGACTAATCAGGACTATGGCTGCTCGCACGCGTTTTACGCGTCCTTGATTCGATCGATAATTTACTGCTTCTGATTGGCGGCTTTGGGCTATAACACCCTGTTAAGATGCTTCACACCCTGTGTTTTGTTCTCATGGTTTACCTGAAGTTCCATCAGCATTTAGCTTGAGTTCTTACTGATGATAGGCACACCTCCCGTTGCAAAAGCCAAGTTTTATCAACCACTGTTTGTTGTTGGTTCTGCCGATTTATTCCTCTACTTTTTTCAGAAGCGCGAATGTAACATTTTTCTGGTAAGCGTTTTTCAGCGAGTTAGTTTTCTATGGGATGGGACCGCCAACCCCATACCCAACACTCCTCCTTTACCCGGGCTTGGGACCGGCAGTAACCCTAGAAGAGCTACGGGCGGAGTTACGAATGTAACTTAGTGAAGTAAAATTTGGATAGGATATGTGTTCGCCAGGGTTACAATTCGTATGATGTGCCAGAAGTGGGAAAATATTTAGGATATACTACACAATGTAGTCCGTTTTCAACACACTGTATTGCTTCAATACTTCATATGGTATAAGACACATTTTATGAGGAAAGTAAAGTTCCAGTTCTTATATTGAGTTTAAAAAACTCATTCACAACAAGACAACTGTCCAAAGAAACTCCCTCACTGAACTGACTAATCAAACCAACAAACTGTAGCTGAATTCTTCCGTTCTCTAACCATTCCGTTCACCCAAACGGGTATTTACTTTGCTTTCAGTTTCCAGAGTCCATATGTTGAAGGGATTTGGTTATTCGTTCTAGTACCACTCACGCGATCCAAATATTCATTTGTATATCATCAAGCAACAAAAGCTAGGATTGAGGTCTAAAGTTAAGTTATGGTCTTGGACTAACCCTCTCGTGCACCAAATAACGACGTCAGAACATATTGCATATGTAAATTGAGTTATTAGCATGCAAAAGCGAGTACTGAAATGCTTCACAGTTTCTAATGATAAGCAGTCATACAAGGAAAATTCCGTGATGGCCTTAATAACTTTTCATGGTCACTAAAAGTGGTTGTACAGATGAAGTGAAATTACGAAAATATGGATAATAATCAGACTTTAAGCCTCAAATCAATGTTTGATTTGTGATGGTTATTTTCGATTTGCTGTTCAAGCACATAACTAATTTTTTCCCTTAACTCTTGTTCTGTAAAAATTATGTGTTGCATGTTGTTTTTCTGCACTACATAGATAACTAATAACTGTGAATTGTGGGGCACGTTTGGTTGTACTGTGGTCCCATTTGGTTTTATGACACTGAACTAGTTATTCGCGTTCTTGGATTAATATCTTATTAAATTTCTGATTACTAGAGGGCAGAACATGTTTCTTGAATTCTCGCTGATTCCTGGAAATATAATTCCACAAAAGCCTTCCGAATTCGGTTGGACAATGTCCTCACGGGTTTACTTAAATGGATTTTAACATTTTGCATTCCTCAACTGCGCATGATGCCAGACCGTTCCTTTAGTCAGGCAAATAATTCAGGTGAAGAAAGTCACTTGATCTCGAATGCGGGTAGCTTTTGCGAACTAGATGACCATGTTTGTCCTTCTGATAATAATCTCAGTCGTCATTCACCGCCATCTGCTACTTTCCTAATTCATGGATCAGAGATTCCTCACCATGCTCCTGCTCCTCCTATCAGGTCTTCAAGTACATTGTGAGTTTACGAAACATTTTATTCCTGAAAATGTTCTGAGATTTGAGTTTTCTTCCCTGATTGAGTTACTAATATAAAATAACCTATCACTGTCTAGTCTGTTAGGACAAGTGCTTAAAGGGGAGGTTGTGGTTTTGTCGGTCAGATTCAACTGATGGGCATCCTGTACTTGTTTTTCCTTTTTTGACGTGAATGAAAAATTCGCAGTAGGCCATTCGCAACTGGTTATTGTAGTCTGTAACAATCCAATTACTACTAAGCCACTACGGAAGAAGGTTAGCCAGCGATAGTTTGCTGCTAAACTTGGCAGTTATAACGCCAGTTCATAGTAATCGACGAGACCATAATTTACAAAGGACTTTGGTGAACTTGGGAAACTTTACCATCTTACTAGGGCCAGGAGAGTATTCGAGGTTACAAGTCAAAGTTAGGGATTGGAGTTAAGGTTTTCCATCACGTACTAATATCGGCTATAATTCCAAAGTGCCATTTGACTGCGTGAATGACTGGATTTCGTGCCAAAATTCAAGACTTGCTGTCCATAAGTTATGGTCTCGCCTATCAGAGATAGCTGTATTAGTCATAATTTACCTTCAAAAGTAAGTCGCTACTCAACTTAGGATGCTGTGTTCTACATCCTGATTTATTAGTTTCCACACAGTAAAATTGCCAAACATATTTAATTACACGTAAAGTTAAGTGACTCAAATTGACCCTTAAAATTTTATAATCAGTGTTAGCCAACTAAAGAGATGAGTTGAGTTTCATTCGTCAGACTGAAATCAGTCCATTTCTAATGTTTGGCTATATGACTATGTTTTTTCTCCTCCATCACACAGAACTGTAAGTAGTTTATACGTTCCTAACCTAATTCCGCATTTGTATGGATAACATAATGGTCTACAAAATTAGATTAGTAGACGATTTTAAAACCACACCCTAATCTGTCAGGGTATCTTGGAGTTCCTATTGTCTAGTACTTCACTAATAGTCTGGTTGAGATTTATTTATTCAACTCCAGATGAATCAGTCCTTATTCATTAATTCAGGGAAAATAATGTTGACACAAACCATCTTACATGTCTTTGAGTTAATGTCTTCATACAGCTGCTCCCAAGCTGATCCTTCTATATCCACGTGGATCCGTGTTTTCAGAAAGCGGTGTAAGTAAACTATTTGAGTCAAGGACGTCAGCTAAACTTCGTATTTCTAAAGTGCAAATCTCATCCCTAAAAATAATGCTGTTACGGTATTTCAACACTTCATACTTGACTTCGCTTCAGCTTTGCTATACTCGTCTAAATTTGGCACAATTTAAATATCAATGTGTATTCTCGTAAACCGACTGTTAGTTTTATGAAGAACCTCAAAATGTAATGTTCGCTTCTCATATGGTTGATACGCCCGTGCACCAAACCCTAACTTCAATACTGTGAATGAGACCATTATATCCTCTTCTTTCCTTATACACCAGAGTGAGTGTAATACTTGTTGGTCAAGACATCAGGAGAATTATCTGCACAAGTGGAAACACATTGAAAGTCCATGAACAAAATTCACTGAATAAATTAATGTAACAAAAATGTGTTGACAGTTGACCTTAAACTGATATGCGAACTTAAAACTGGTTTTTTTCATAAGTTATATTTGGGAATTCTACATCCTCAACAATGATGTTACCATATTTGTACCATAGCTCATTCAACTTGCTTGTAAATGATGTATCTTACTACATTAGATCAGTTATTTGCCGACCATTGTCTTGGCCAGGTCAATAATTAAAGTTTAACGCAAATCGGTAACCAAATGTACGTTCATGTGTTTTTAGCCACCAACGTTTTATAAAGACTAGTATTACTGTCATGTATCAAAATGAAGCAAAGCTCTTAGCTGTAGCTCAACGACTGAAAGTCGAGTCCTTTAAGTATTAAACAACTCCAAGCTGTGTTCTCTTCTTCGTCTGCTGTTAAATCCAATTAACGGCCGTTCAGTATAAACTACGTTAATAAATGCACAGTCAACTGTAGCTGTTAAACTAAAGTAGGGGAAACTCGTTGGTTTGGTTATTACTGATCTGAACCATTTCTATGTTTTATCAGTGCCCTAACATGTAAATTGTAAATGTAGACATTATTGGCGGACACCAATTTATCGTGGTTATCTTCAAAGTGAAATTTTTGCTGTAGTAAAAAAATAAACAAAGTTTGGTGGTTGGATAAGACATTCCCAAACTACTGCCTAAATGTGTTTGTTCATCATTACTGTTCGCGTCTCCTAATTTTTATTTAACTTTGTTTTAAGTATGCTCTTGGAAACAACAATATTCACCTAACGTAGAGACTCCCTTATCCACACCAACTATGGAGACAGTTTTTTGGTAGGAATACTGACACCAGTTCTCAATCGCCCTGAGTAGCAATTAAAAGAGCATTTAGAATGCGTTTACCTCCCTCTAAATGCAAAATGTTGCTCCAGGAGTAGTCTTTCTCAATGTATATTCTTATCATAGGGACTAAAGTAACTAGTGGCAAGGGCAATGTGACTTATTGAAAGCCTTATCACCCATGATAGTTTAGGAAGTAACGAAATCTCAACTCATTCACATCTCTTCAGCTTTTACCAGTGACGTATATATATTTGGTGCCCCTTTGTACCAATATGTGTGTTCAAATAAATCACATGATTCACGCATGATGTCTTCTAATCAAAAGATTTACATAATATACAGCGGTCCATCGTATGTTGCTCTAAGACTGGAACGGTCTATATAGCGGAAATATGCGTAAACTGCAAGTACCTGACCATAGATATCTTCGAAGTATTGCTTATGTATGGTAGTTGTGCCTTAGTAGTTAAAGAACTTTCAACTAGAAAATCGCAGATTCGAACCACGTTTTATCTACCTTTTTTTGCAGAGCCAGGTTGGATCATTAACCAGCACACTGTCTCAGAGTATATAAAACCTTTACTTGGTGAATAAGTATGCAGCCATCGGGTGAACAGTGCTAGTTGTACAGGACATTACATGCAAGTAGGAATTCGATTTGTGAGGCTTTAAGTATTCATAGACTGAGTTAGCTAAGATATGTGTTAATCATACCTAACCATTACGTACCTCAACACAATAATGACAGATAATAGGCTGGACAAAAGCTAGGGGTGCCCAAACCAAAACGTGACGTTACTCCATGGAGTCGTCGACTTTTTATCTGAACCGACTGCTATTTGTGGTTTGAAACATTAGTTGATAGCTCAAAATCGGTCGCTGCAGCACAAATCCATTCATCTTGCATTTTCAGAATATTAATACTTTTTATTCTGTTTTCATTCTTCCTTTTCAAAGTAAGCTCGCAATGCCTAGTTTTTTATTAACAAGCACTACTACTTCAACCACTTTGCTATTTCATCTTGTCTTTTTAACGTGGTGTAGCACATCTGTCTCAGATTCTACAAAGTTTATGGTTAACGGGTTGACTTGGTATGTTCTAGTAGACTTAGGTAAAATGATCGTTCTCATCTCATTGTCTCTGCACCCTAAGTGTTTTTCTTAAACGGAACTATCAGGTTGTGCAACTTGTACCATCGATTTGTCAAGTCCATGGTGGTACATATTAACCAAAATCCATATTCCTGTGGTGTAACTCGAGTGTTTCAACATGTTTAGATCATTAAAAGTATGTCAATTTTTGAACAAGATAGACAAGGCTTTATTTGATATCCACGTGACCTAGTGAGCGAAGCAGCATATGTAATAACTTATTCTATTGTTATCTACTGATTCTCAACAGTTGCTTGATATTCTTCACTAACAGAACTAATAATCTATTCATTCTGCTTGATCAGTTATGCTAACCGAAGAAAGTGCTGTAGGTAGGATTTTTTCACAAAATGCATAATTCCAAGTTTTGCACTCTCGTTTGAAGTTAGTTACATTGAATTAAGCGTTTATACTCTGTTTCAATCAAGCATTGCTCTGTAACACCTTGAGAATCTAGCCGAAGCACTTAAGGTATTCAACATGTATTAGTCAATGATCCGATAAATCGTGTTTTCTCCTGATAAAGGTACGCTTGTTTTATAAGTCGATTGAAGTCTGAGTAGAAAGTCCATGTGGAGTCTGAAGTAAACATAATTGCCTGCAACTTCATCCATAGCTAAGTCGAGAAAAAGATGAAAGTAAATATTTCTGGCTTTCATCACTGGTTTTCGGTAACTAAATAATTATGTATCGTCCGTCAACTGATATTATACGTTCATGTAAGCGACAGTTTAGTTATTCGTTCCGTATCTTCTTCATGGACAGACTTCCATAAGACGCCGTAGTTAAAGTGAGATATGGCCTTCTAGTGAAATAATACATCTAATATGGGACATCAGTATATATTCTTTTACTTAAAAACAGAAATGATCTATGCTACTAACATTACACCCTCAACCAGGCTAATTTCCGGAAATGTCTCATTCTATAACTAGTTGGGGTTTGATAACTGTAGGTCCTGGAATTTTAAAAAGTATATTATTCAGACAGCTCCATTTCTGATCATTAAAATCATTCTCCACAACCACCTGTAATTACAATCATCATGTATTTACTAGTGTGGTGTGTGCTACTTATATTGACATAAGTAGTATGTGATGTTTGTTGTGAACAAAAGGTCTGGCAGCAGAGAGACAAGAGGATCGAACAGTAATGAATGGAAACAGGATGCAATTTGTATGAAAATGCAGGAACAATGAAGTCTGAGTCACTTTGGGACAATTGATGGACATTTTGCAAATTAAGCATTTACTTTATGATTGCTAAATTTTGTTAACAAGTCCTGTAAGTTGGTGTTAAATACATTCGATTGTCCCCACCCGTGTTCTGTTCACTACACTGGTGGCGAAATTCAAGTGGTAATTGTCGAGATTCTAGCGAGAAAGCGTGACCATGGGGGACCTGACCGTGTTAATCATTTGACAAATATCACCAATCGGAATGGTTGTATAATATTATAAAATGACTGAATTTAGATATCTAAACTGCTGTATCTCAACTCAGGGGTCTAAAAGCCGAATGCTGTCCGCGTGACCTAAAAGTTGTGGGTTCGATCCCTATCGTGGTCGTGAATGGACTCTTCTGATTTTTGTTCTAAAACAAAGCAGTCGTCCAATACCTTTTAGTATTTATTAGTTGTCTGACTCAAGTTGTTACGCCGTATAAACCTACTTATTACAAAGGTGCTTACTTTAGATTGTATATCCACTTCACTGATGTACTAAATAAATAAAAGATATATTTCAATACGAGTTTTAGTAACATATTACTATCATTTTGTAGGCGTAAAAAGAACAAACCTGTTTTGCCTCCATCAAAACCTTTGCCAACTCCACCTGGGAAAGAAGAGAAAAAGAAAAAGAAAGGTTAGTCTTCTATGATGTTTTGTTTCACCTCTTTTTTCCATCAAATAAGAGATCGCTAGAAAAAGCACATTAAGTTTCATGTTTTTGTGGATTGAGTCTGTCATTCTGTATAGAATATTGTTAGTTAACTCTGGAATAAATTAATGCTACTTTTAAGATATATAAATATCTATTCATGTAAAACAATTTGCATAAGTAGATGTGAAAAGAAGTTTACTTGGTATAAGCATTAAATTTCCTTTATTGATACCAGCTTCGGTCTGGGCACCCGGACAGTATCACAGCCCACACATAAATCTAGTGACTTGTCTGGCGCATATTTATTCGGTGCCCCTTTATACCAATATTTGTGTTCAAATAAATAAATAAACCTTTATTGATAACTAATTAAGACATAAAGGATTAACTATATTTGTACCACTATGACCGACCTGGTCTATATCATCTATATTCGCAAACCATTGATTTCGGATCCATCCCAGACACTATATAAGAAGACTATAGTTACCTTTGCAGCTCAAATTTTATGCATGGATATCACCATTTCTTGCCACATTTAAGCCTTTCCTGTTCTTATTCAGTTGTCGAAACATATTGTGGTCGACGGTTGCTAGATCTTCATTGTATCTGTTCCAACCACAGCTTGTAAGTAATAAATTCATCAGTTTTACTCTTTCAGGTAACTGTCTACACCGAATCTCAACACCTGCTTGGTTATCTCAGCACTGGGAATAGTTCAAAAAACGTTGGTATCTATGTTCGTACAACTCTTGAGTGTCTCTCGTTTAGTCATTTCATGTCTTTAGAGTAAGACAATATAACATAGTACACTTGACTAGTAATAGGCATTTGAATATCTGATTGAGTTAAATAAATAACCAGATTGCATGTTTTTTTATTGTCTTATGCCTGTTATACTATTCCTGGATATTTTACATTTATTGCCTGTGTGAATTATCCCTTTTGTGCATCTTACTTTCATTCAGTATTAAGTAGTCAGAAAAAATATTTGGTGTCTATACTACGGCATAAATTGAAACCTAGTTTCACACCATAAACTGTCATTAGTACGAAATAAAACACTTAAGTATACGTTAACATGTCCATACCGTATACATAGTCTACGTCTGTTCATGAAAACAGACATACCAGTCTATCTAAACTTGATGATATTGAAAAAATAACATATTCAATATTCTTTTGTTGAAAGTGTGCACATGTTATTAATTTTTCTAGCCCTCTTTCTATCCCACAATCTCGTCTATTCATGCTACACTTGCATATTTCTCTATATTTAAACGTTTATGACTCATCTTTCTTGTTGTTGTTACATCTTTATTCCTTCATTCTTTACTAATCATATATAGTACATCACGGTATATTTATGACATTTATTAAGATTCAGAGTCAGATTTGTGTAGTAAAGACAGAAGGCCTACGGCCTATTTTATTCCTTTTCTAGTATGCTTCTGTGAGTGTCCAGTCTTCTCTTGAAAGAGTCAATTGAAGGTGCGGACAGCACTGCTTCAGGCAGCAGATTCCAAGTATTGATGACGCGGTGTGAAAACCTGTATGCCACGGGTATTTTGTTCGTTCTTGGCTTTTCTACTCGCCTGCTATGTCCTCTAAGGTGTCCCGATCTAGTGGGAAGAAAGAGAATAAGTTAGGTCCGAAATCATTTCTCAGTATTCTGTACATCAAAATTAGATCTCCCCTTAGTCTGCGATAGGACAGAGTAAAGAGGTCCAGTTTTTCAAGCCGTTCTTTGTATGATAAACCCCGGATTTCCGGAATTGCACGGGTAGCTGCCCTCTGTACTTTTTCTAGTATGTCCGAGTCACCTTTTAGACAGGGGCTTGCAGCCTGAGCGCAGTTCTCTAGCTTAGTTCTCACTAAGGATCTGTATACTGTGGTGAACATGGTAGTATCTAACTTAGTGAATGTCCTTTTTAAAGCCTCGAGGGTTCGAAACCTCTTGGCTGCGATCTCCCGGCAATGGGCTGTCGTCTTAAGATCATTACTCACTGTCACCCCTAGGAAATATTCATTTAGTCTGATTTCTTATAGAATGTGTTGATATTGTGCTTAATAATAAGCCTAACTCGTGAGTATCATCATTAACCTTACAAGTACATCAGAGTGGAGTAGAGTGTGATGAAAATGACTAGACGATTTATCATTTAATAAAAACATCACATGTACGGTGTGGAGGATAAATGATAGTCCTACTAATATCAAAATGCACTTGTGACAGTTTTTTTAATCTCCAGGTTATGTGAATAATCTAAGCTATAATTTCCATATCACGTGATTACACATAAATCATCACCATCCAAGGTGAATTAATATCAGGTGGCCTAGTTGAAAACAATAATTTATCATAATTTTAGCGTGGTTATTCATTATGTTTGTGCGCATCATGAGAAAATAATATGGGAATTTAGCTAAAAGTATTCACTGTGGTCTTAATGAATTTAACTCTGTTTACCTAACACTTCTCATTGTACCCCATGTAGGTGGTATTTCCAAGAGACCTATCGATTGATTTTATCTATTTCAAATTTGGAACGGTTAAACTCAATCTTCGATTGACGCACTAAGATCAATTGAAATCTAGTCAAAAAGTATTAACAACGATATGACTCAACACTATTATAAACTAAGTTGAATGCGATTTTGAGAATTTATTAGGATATTAAAACACGATATAGTTGTAGCATTAATATAATAAACATCCTGTATAGTTAGGTGGTTATGCAGAAGCACTTTCAAGCCTACTTCAAATAGTATGAGACAGTTGTCCTATTTTATCAGTGAACCATAATTTTTCGTAAGAAGAATGTGAAATGTGTACTAACTAGATCGACACTTAGTTGTTTATTGCATAATTATCTCAGCAATAAGGAATATTTAGACTATAAGCCCTGTATGGATTTTATTCTAACTGCTTTCGCTCTTTTTTTGTTAAAAATATATTACAGTACCCATGTTTTTTTTTATAAAAAATTAATGATTGATCAGTGTTTTTCTGCATACTATATATCCCCCTGTTACTACTATCAGTAGTATTTATAATGGATAGTCCTTAAAGGATTATCAGTTATCTGATAATGAACTAATGGAAATTAAGAACCTTCCATGTGACTACTTGTTTACACTTTTAATCTTTGTTATATATATATATATATATATATATATATATATATATATATATATATATATATATATATATATATATATATATATATATATATATATATATATGTAATTGTACTTTTACTTTTGTGACACGCAGTCTTGTTCACTTAGCAGCCACCTTATAATGTTCATTTTAAAAAAGTCAATGGATCAGTGTCACTTTTCTTATCATTTTTACTTTTTCTATGGATGCATCTCATCTGCAAAAGACAATAATATGTTGCTGATACAGTTCTTCTTGAGTCACAACATATGTTAGATGATTAGTGTTGAATTAATGTAACTAGTAAAAGCTATGTAGATTATTATTATTATTATTATTATTATTATTATTATTATTATTGTTATTATTATTATTATTGTATGTCTCATCTACTTTTGTATATGTCTGTGTTTAGACCTATTGCACATTTCTATTTTTACCATGAGTGTAACATTTTGTTTCATCTTTTCTTTTAAATCCTGATGTTATAAACGTTTTTAAATTGCCAAACTCCCTTAAACCATTGTATGTATCATATAGGTACAAAATAGGTATTTTTCATTTTGTCTGATTTCTGTGGATTCACCCATAATTGAAAATATCAGTTTATCCCGTTATCGATTGGCAGTTATGACAAAAAAAATCTCTGAGTAATTCTCAGTCGTTTTGATGCATATTTGCATCCGCTTATTTGTTATTTTGCTGACAGACAAATATCTATATGCTTTTATCTTACTAGAATAACTATTAAAAAACATAAACACAGTTAAAAAGTGTGCAGGTAGTGAAGTGTAGGATTCGCAAATCATTTTGCTTTTTGCACACTCACTAGAATTATTTGTGTGTGTCAAGTATGGGACTCAAACAATCACTTTTTACGTTTTTATAAGTAAATGAACTGTTACTGATTTCCACTTCTTTTATGAATGAATCTTGAATCCAACCTTCTTTCATAGTGAACAAAATATTCTTTGTGTGTGCGGTAGTTGCGCACATCTATGTAGCAATTATTTTTATTTAAACACATTTATATCAGTTTCTGTACAAATGGCGCTTATTATCACGTTAACGTATCTCAATCATTCATCTAATAAACAATACTTTCATAGATTACGTACCGCATTGTCCTTAGCACATTGCCGAGGAGTCCTATACTAAAAGAAACAGTTCAATGCTTTCTAGTTTTCAATACTTGTGTAGCTAAAATCAATACCTGATGCATTCCATGAAAACCCAACAATCTCTACTAATCTATCAGTAACAATACCTTTTTCTGAATCTCCCACAAAAATAAACGTCTTTTTTGTTATATGGTTAAATTAACTTGTAGATAGGTGATCTTCAATGTTTTTTTTACTTACCTAGTGAAAATGTTCCGATTTCCTAAATTTGGTCGATCGGAAAAAACTGAACCACAAATTTCTGGTCCTACAGAAGTTACGCATAATCTACATGTGGCATTTGATAAGTCCACAGGCGAAATCAAGGTCAGTTGACTCACTATTTTTCTTTGACTTTTAAAATTGCTTTCAAAGTAGATCTTTGGTAAACAATCACTAATTATTAATATTATATATATATATATATATATATATATATATATATATATATATATATATATCACAGCTATCACTCTATTTAATCAGGAGTTTAGATTTCAGTCTTTAATAAACAAAAAACATTTTCATGTTCATATACACGTACCGTTACAAATATTCACTTATATGCCATATTAGTTTTGTATCTTTAAAAATCTTACTTATGAAACATGTAGTAGTAATAATAGTAGTAGTGTAGTGAACTAACACTTAGTGGGGGAAGACCAATTTATTGTTTAATACAAAATCGCAGAGTGTCTTCATAAAATATGAAAACCATACATTAAATTGCTCATTTGCACACCCATTGATTGTCTCTTGCAAACTCTCTGTTTGCATTTCTGTTCTCTTCAATTTGATCTCAACCTTCTGATACCAGGCATTCCACTTCTAATTGGTGTTACATACTACTTATGTGGGAGACATAAGTAGTATACACCACAGTAGCGGTCAAGTAGTATGTAGCTAAAACAAAAATAAAATGTTCCTCTTGTCTGAGTACCTAAATCTGTATATGTATACTGAGTTTTATTTTATCTAGAATTTATTATACAATCGTTGAAATCTGTTAATATTTCTTCAATTAGTTTTACGATTACAGTGTACTACGTATGTCCGTTATAATTTGCTTAAATTTAATCATAGTAACAAGATTGTTTCAAATTAACTGTAATATAGCCGGAATATTTTAATCTAATTGTCGTGATTGTGTTAAAAGTGTTACTTAAATTAAACCGAGTTTAATGAATTTTAATTATTGAGTCAGTTATTACAAATTAAATCTAATGTGTTAATTTAAAATAAAAATGAGGATTTAATAATATAATGGATATAGAACAATAATATCTTTCCAAATATGTTGTACTACATTTGGGACTAAAATCTGTTGCACATCTTGGTCAATTCTTGCTTTTTACTATCTTAATAAATATGTATCCTTCATTTTACACTCTCCTTGTCTAATGTAATTTATGGCATACAGCCAAATCATGTGGTTTGTATGTAGCAAAGAAGTATATTTTTATTTAGATAGTTATAGTTAATTTCATTGTTTTTCTTTCCCATTAAGCTACTTACTAGTCACGTAAGCGAATTGTTGCATAAACAATCTATGAAATAACACAGACAAATACATCCCAAGTGTATATTTTATTCAAGTTAGATCACTTAGGAAACACTATATTTAAGTGAATGATTTAATCATATGTGCTATTATTTTTTTCTGAAAGATAACACATCAATTATGTGAATGATTATAAACTAATGTATGCATTACGTTTATTGTTTTTAGTTACATTAAAAAGTATAAGCTCTAATTACCTACTCATTTGACAAATTGAAACGATTATTTTCAAGAATTAATTGATTGTCGATTGTGTTTTGACCTTTTGTTCTATTTTTTTCCTTTCTCCTACTTCCCTTACTAGTTTCACTTTTGTGTCTGTCATACAAATAGTTTTTTTAATCAGAGAAGGGTTTTTATTGATATTATAGTAGTCCCATACTAGGACGAAACGGTCGTCCAGTGCTTCCAAGTTTTTCATGGTGGTTTAGCTTCAGTTGATTCATGAATTCAACTATTACGATAGATTTTTCTTTATTATTCACCATGTCCGTTCGTTTTTTGATATCGAAAATCATTACTATTGTCTTTCTGTATTGACACATGTGATTTAACTAACTTACATAAATACCATGTTATATATATATATATATATATATATATATATATATATATATATACCTATTGAGTAGCATTCACACTGTCATGTAGAAATACACTGAATCTAACTACTTATTTCCATGGTATATCACAAGAAATCCTGAAGAAATAAACCTGATCATATATATATTTTTTCTCTGGTAAATTTCTCAAGTATATAAACAAAAAAATGCACCAACTAAAGCAATGTACACCAAAATTTTCACAGCCATGCATTATAAACGAAGTTGTCAAGAAAAAAACTTAGTTCAAAACTACAAAAAATGTAGAAAAAAGAGAATTAATACATTTCCGTCATCTTGGTTGTCTAAATAAAGATTACAATTACCACGACTTTTTCATCTTTCAACTCACTGATTAACAACTTCATGGATTGATGATGCCGTTTCTGTATGCTTTTCAAATCACTTGTGTATGTGTTTTAGCTATTGAGAATAAAACTAGTATTCAAATTTATTGGTTACTGCTACCGACTATGGCTATAGTGTTTGCTTTTTTCCCCAACTTTATTTTCTTTATGTTATTTATACATAATTGTATATGTTTAATTCATTGGCTTAATTGTTAACTGTTATCATTCTGATAATATCTACATTCATTCAAGTGGTGTCCGTCGAGGCTGTCCACTTTCCCCATTTTTGTTTAACTTCATCATAGATCTACTGATGGAAATAACTTTCTCGTTGACTGAGTTCTCGGGTATTGATCTCCTTCCAGGAGGTCCACTTATCGACTTAGAATACGCAGATGACATAGTCCTGTTTGGTGAAGACGCTGACAAAATGCCGAGTCTTTTGGTAGCACTAAGCAACAATGCCAGAATGTTTGGAATGCGCTTCTCTCTCTCTAAATGCAAGTTGTTGCTTCAGGACTGGTCTGCGTCAACACCTGAACTAAGGATAGGGAGTGAAGTAGTGGAACGCGTTGACAACTTCACTTATCTTGGAAGTCTGATCAGCCCTAATGGGTTGGTGTCTGACGAAATCTCAGCACGGATTCGAAAAGCTCGCTTGGCTTTTGCCAACTTACGTCACCTTTGGCGAAGGCGAGATATCCGTCTATCAATAAAAGGACGAGTATACTGCGCGGCAGTCCGTTCTGTCCTACTTTACGGCAGCGAAACATAGCCTTTAAGAGTATAAGACACTCGTAAGCTACTAGTATTCGACCACAGATGCCTTAGAAATATTGCTGGCGTCTGCTGGGATCACCGGGTAAGTAATAGTGAAGTTAGACACAGGGTACTAGGAAATGATGGTAAATCAGTTGATGAGGTTGTGAATCTTCATTGACTGAGATGGTTGGGCCACGTGTTACGTATGCCTGAACACCGATTACCACGACGTGCAATGCTGACTAGTGTTCGGGATGGTTGGAAGAAAGTTAGGGGCGGCCAAACCAAAACGTGGCATCAGTGCCTGAAGTCACTAACTTGTAGTCTGAGCCATGTTGGTAGATGCAGACTACTTGGTTGGGGTCCGCGTGACTATCGTAACGAATGGTTGGAAACTCTTGGTGACATGGCTCAGAATCGATCACAATGGCGTCGGTGTATACACTCCCTGTCTTCCCTTAAACTAAGAGATTAAAATCACTTCATATCTTTCTGTCTACGAACCAATTCTTTCTTGTACTATATCTCTATATGCAATCTTTCTCTTATATATTACCACCTTTGACCTAACCACTGCTATGAATCCGGTGTTCATCTTGTTGTGCTGATGCGGTATGGCAACCTGGATCGATGCACATATGTGCCTGGTCCTACGTTGTAGCTGACTGACTGAGATAAATATTATTTATACATAAACAAATATTTTATTGGTAATAAATGTGGGACCTTGATTTACAATTCATTTATATTCAAACAAGACATAATTAATTTCATGATGTCTTTAAATGTCATTTATTAGGTCCAAATTGTTTAAAATTACTTACTACTTACTGAGCTGAAGTGAAATGTAGTGTTTGATTATGCTTCATTATATCATATTTCTAGTGAAATTTATCATTGGTAAAATCTGTAAATTTTTAAATCTAACAGTATTTCACTTATTAGTCTACCGATTCAGTTATTCTCAACAATAGGAATGAAGAAACAACAGAACATATTTCGGTCAACTTGGGAGCTAAAAGTATATATATATATATACGAAGTTAAGGTGCAGAGCAGATGCATGAAGTGTTTTGGCCAATATTCTGTCAATTAATTTTTAAGAAAAATATATATACGACTTACCATTTAATCATGCTTTTTCTATCTTTTCTTTGTTCGTTGTATATATCTAATTTTTAAATGTCACTAGATGTTAAATCTAATAAGCATCATTCTATGTCCTCAGACAGAAAATTCTGTTGTCTTTCTCTTTTTCTTATATATATTTAAGCGTCTTATAACATTTTATTTTATAAAAAATAATTTACAATAATATAAAGTCTATCTGAAATTTTCATAGAGAAATACACGTGTCTGTGAAGTCGTAAATCAGCCACGTTGTTGTATATTTGTTTGTGTCTGTACTTTGATAATAGTAATAATATAAAATGATTGAACTAGTTTCGTCATTTATTTCTTGGCTTGTGTTTTATTTTCTCTTATTGACGTTGATTTTTTACTTTGTTGAAATGATTAATATAGATTGTGTTCAACATAACATAACATATATGTATATAACATTGTGCTTGTGATTTTTTAGGGTCTTCCTATTTCATGGCAAATGCTTTTAACAGCATCAAATATATCACGAACAGAACAAGAAAAGAATCCAGAAATCCTTCTTGGCGTACTACAATGTTTTGATGAATCAGCTAAACAGAAAGATAAATATATGACAAATGTGTCTGTCATTACAAGTATGTTATTTCGTTCTTTTGGTTTAAATCTGAGGTCTAGAAGGAAATCGTCGCATAAATTTTGGTACATTCATTATTTCCTACAGGTGACCAATTTAATGGTCGTGTAAACAATTGGTCATTGATAAAAAATTACGTTTTTTTGTCTTGCCACAGTACATTGTCTGTCAATAAGTTGTTTATTGGTATATGCGTTTGTGGAGAGCTTTCACTTCCATAGATCACATCACGGACTAATCTTAGACCGTCATTGAGAACCAGGAATCACCGGAAAGTTTCGTCGTAGTGTGGAATTTTTACTCAGCCCTCATCCACGACCCCATTGGTGGTTGCTTTCACTGAGAGAGCTCAACCTTTAGACGATTGAGTCGGCATCCAATGGTTCACAGTTTTAACTTTCATCTATCTGCGATATTGCACTATCATCTTTCATTGCCTATGAACCGGAATTCGTGGGTTCGATCCTTGGTGGTGCTGAGGAGCCCCATTCTGGGACGAAAAACTCATCCACTACTTCCTAGTCCCAGTGGTGGTCTAACCAAGATCAGTTCGTGATGTAATTTATCAAGGTGGTTTATTGTTGATGCTAAATTAGAAATCATTCCAAGTTCTCCTCACACAGTTTAATAAGCAAAGTCTTAATACATCACATTCAAATTAATAATGAAAGATTTTGTGTTCTTTATAAACACCGATTTAACCATATAAAAGACTCAATACTATTATGAAATCTAATCAATACTGAGCTGGACGGGTTTACTTATCAATGAATATTGATGTGATCTTATCCATGAGAAAGAAAATTTTATACAATAACATGAAATCTATTTTATTTCGACGCTTCTGTTCAGCTACCAAGAGACTAAAAGTGACTAGTCCAATGCTTAGCCAATGGATTTATGATCCTTATTTGGGATCCAGGAGGTCAATTATGCCAACATAGGTACATTCACTTTAAGCACACTTTCTATTCACTCCTTAGTTAACCTCTATTTCTTCCAACTCTCCATTGTTATTTGCTATTTTCAACCACGTGGTTCTCCGTTCGTCTATTTTTTTCACATTGTTCTTATCTAAATTTGGGAAATTTGAGTCGATACACTTTTCTGTATGATCAAACTCTGCTTATCACACATATTCAATCTTCATTGGTGAATTAATAAGTGTAATCACAGAAGTGTACACACTAACTAATTAAAAATTTATCATAAGTTCAACAAAGGATCATTTATACCGTACTGTTTATTGCTTTTTTACGTACTGTTCACTTCGTACTACTGTTTGTTCATTCTGTTCTTCCATTTCACACGAAGTAATTGCTTTTTAAATTTAGATTCCTCTGGCTCCGTTGAATCGATGAATTCCAACTCCCGCTCCTGCTCAGTTTCCTCTCAAAGTATGCCAATCGCACCAGGTCATTGCGACATCAGCTATTTACATTCGGGTTCCTATCAATCTGTTTCATTTAATTCTACGACATCATCATCTGCCCCTATTTCAGCGGAGGAAAATAATTTAATTATGTCAATGGCTGAAACTAGTTTAACAGGAATGACAATAATTTCCAGTGCTTTACCGGCAACTACACATTCTTGTGCGGGTAGCAATAGCAGCGGCCGTGGTAGCAGTTGTACCACTAACAGTGGCAGTGTTGGTGGTCGTGGTGTAAGTGGTGGTGTTCCAAATGGTTTGAGCGCTGCAAGTTTAGTAGAACTAACTTCTAATCACACTCACGTGTGTCCTTCAGGGTCTGGAAGGAGAACAAGCACAGGAGGTGCCGTATTTTTGGGTGGTATTAGTCCAACCCGTACATTTGGTGGACGTGCAAGTGGTTCGACAATTCCTGAAATGTCTCCAGCACTTGGGAATCATAGAAGCATTAACAATACAGGAGATATCGCTCGTTCTGGGCCAGACTCCATGATATCAGCGAACTCAGGAACCCTTACAAATGGACAACTTCTCAATCATAACCGTCATGCTAGAGATGCCAATTTAGCTAGTGATAATCATAATGGTCATTCAACTGTATCTGTTCCTGCTCTTCCAATTACATATGATGTTAGTCTTGGTGAACTTAGCAGCAGTCGGTAAGCTATTCAAGTGGTATTTCATACTCCAAGCGCCATTTTGTGAACTTCGAATCCCTTGTCCTCTTTTAAATTAGTGGTCATGTACTCTATGTGTTGACCTGGTTTCTCAATAAAATAATTTGAGCAGCAAACGAAATGTTTAAAATATAGTTTGCTGCAAAAGAAACGTTTCTTCAATTTAGAATGTTTTAAATACAGAACAGTTCAGCTAATAAGTTTGATAGCATTATATAAAATTTGTATAAATTATGAATTTTGACCAATTAGTTGGTTATTGAAAAATAGTAATAAGTTTTAATCCCAAAAATCACTAAAGTAGGACCTTTACTACTCATATGTTCATTAGTTCTGTTTTTTGGAACCAGTTGTTATTTATATTAATCTCTCTAAAAGTATTACATCATTGGCAAGGTTCTAGTCAAGTTTTTCTTTTCAAATATTTTGTTTTATCATTTTACAGTAGCAGTGGTTGTTCACTATCTTGCTCTGGTGCTAGCGGAAGTGTCAGTATTTCTGGTTTAGCAAGTTCAGCTAGTATGGTTGGACATTTATTTGGAGGTATAAATAGTAATGAGAACAGTCCTACAAGTATTCTTCCGCCTAGTATGTTACCATCTCAATCACCGTTACCACATAACAACTGTTGTTCATTTGTCTCCTATCCACCATCATCATCACCACCGCCTGTTCCACCTCATGCAACTACTGTCGTATTAAGAAATTTAGATTTTTCTGAAAGTTGTACAAATAATTTTGAAATTAGTAGTGTTAAAGAAGAAGGTACTCTACGGCATACATCTTCATTTCATAATACAATCCCTGAATCATCTACATGTTTACCATTTCACGGAGATATATTGGTTCCAGAATCCTGTATAATGGTCGGAGAATCTTCTTCCGATGAAGAAGAAGAGGATGAGGATATTGAAGATGAAGATCACGAACAAGAAGAGTATGAAGAAGGTGAGGAGTTAGGTGAAGATGAAGAAGAGAGCGAGAACGAACAAAGTGAATTAAGCAATAATGAAATAACTACATCTCAGGCTACTGTTGAATGGATGACAAGCAGTGGAACTTGTAGTAATCTACCTACTCCAATGACTATGTCCAAGGTATACTTATTGGCGAATAAATTGTACATTTTCTAAAGTATATATATATATATATATATATATATATATATATATATATATATATATATATTATATCGTGCTAGTAGTAAGGTTTATTATGTTTCTTTCCAAGGATGTGGCTTGTTTTGTAAGTCAGAACCATTCTGTAAACTGTATGGGCAAAATGAAACTAAATGTCTTGTTCTCATAACATTGCTTATTAAACATATTTTGCATTATTTTTAGATTAAGTTCAACTTCTGAAATGATGAGATTCACAAATTTCAAATCTTAATATATATGACTTCCCCAACATTCATATCCAGATTCTATGTCCTACATATAGCATCTTACAGTTATATAGTATTATTTGACCATAGGTAGAAATGATTTTATAGTATTTATTAAATAACCGGGTAAGTAAATAAACTCTTATCATATGACATTTTATTGATAATCAGAGTTTTCTTCATACTTTCTAACCATTTTTACAAAATGTATTACAGGGATCTGAAAATGGTGTTACCAGTGAAGCTTTTGATAATCGGAATGGTATACTCGCTTCAAACAAAACATCAACAAATAGTGAGAATATACCAAATTTGGTCAGTACTAGTAAGTAAATTGAGTAAATTTCAGTATGGTATGTCATCAAATTTACCCGTCCAAATCGATGACAGTAATAAAATATGTGTGTTTTCATGCGTAGGTTTTAGTTACTATCTTGATTCACAATTACTGACCCCTCCCAATACATACTTATATACCTTAGTTGTGGAGGTTTCGGCAAATGTCTTTGGATTTAGGGAAAACTAATTATTCACATTTTAGTCACTTAAATCATAATATGCTAACTATAATTGCATTTTCCTATGTGCCTATATCAATCTATGAATCTGCTTATTCCTCATAGGTAAAGATAGTGGGACATCGAAGATCATCCAGTCATCAACGTCCGATAGAAATGTTCCACCAGCTGTTCCAGTCAAACCACAGGGTTTAACACATGTGTTTCGCACACAACAGCAAACTAAAATACATCAATCTCCTCATTTCTTCCCACATCAACCGCCTACAAATAAAATAGATTCAAGTAATACTGCTACGATTACAACAACTACCACTTCTGCTGCTGCTGAAGATGTAGCCAAATCGACTACACCTAGTGCACCTAGGCGTCGTACTGGGAATCATCGATTAACAGATCAGCAGGTACATGATAAACTGAGAGCTATTGTAAGCAAAGGTGATCCATATCAAAAATATCGTATGGTAGATAAAATTGGTCAAGGGTAAGTTTTTCTAACAAAAACTTATTTCCTTTTAATTTCTTGTCACTTCAAGTTTTCGTTTTCTTAGAGTAGAAGAGCTCTTAGTTTTTTGCTCAGTTCCGAAAATGTAGGTTCCCCTAGGTCTAATTATCGTAACTTGAAGGCTGTTTTAATAATAATGAGAATAGGACAGTAGATTCAAATTACTAAACAACAACAACTATTGGATGAGCCATGAGCTGCCTTTATTATGTCTGAGTTATTGATACTTCCACATCACTCGAATCCTTTTGAGTCGAGTGCTTAATTCATTTGATAATCAGATAGTTATATCGTTGTAATATCAATCTACTTAAATTCTACTATACTCTCACTTATGGATAAATAATTGTAATTATAGATTCTGATGAATAAATATGGGCAGTTTTCTCGATCCTAGCACATTTGCTGCTATTAATGAGAACTTTTAAAAAATAAGTTTTGTGGTTATTTAAAATAAGTGGATTATGGCTAGAAGTGGAATGCAAAGACACTTGTGTCCTACTTGGGACTCGTTCACTACCAACCACAATCCATCTATTCTAAATAACTTGTGTCATGATATGCCAAAGGGATCCACATCAATGTATATGTACCAACAAAACTGATCAAAGTTCCGTCGCGAATATTAACAACGAGATAACTCAATCCTTTACTAATAATGATATCAGTTGTGAGATTATTTGTACTTTTAGAGTAGTATATCCCCAAAATAAAAAGTTCATTGGTTTCTCTAAAAATGAATTGCATCGTTTAGCACTACCTTAGAGAGTAGTTGAAATCCGAATTTCATACCATACTCTATTTCAGGACATATCGAAGTAAATAGATCAGTAACGCAGTGTATTCAGTTAGCTACGCGATGTACCATTTTGATTTATTTATTCCGAAATTCATTTGGGGCTTTTTGTACTATAGTTAATACGCATCTTAACCTGAGGTTGGGGGAAAATAACTGTAATTGAAAGTACCTTTACCATATAATCATTTTAATCCTACCTTTATTTACTACAGTTCACATCATCTCTTATGTTTGTGAGCACTACTAGTTTAAAGTTTTCAAATTGTAAATGGCCTGTCTCTCTGATATCATAGTTGATTTGTACATAACTATCTAGCTAAATGATCACTTCAACTAATAACAAATCATTTCAAGTAAATGGGTGTACTATCGTTACTCATTAAGTAAAAATCTTGAGTTCCCTTGTTATTGAATTTCGTAGTTCTAAGGAATACCGACTGTCTTTCTTGTATATCTATATCTAGACCATATTATGTGGCTTGCTTAAACTCGAAGTAGTTAGTGAGGCCAGGTCTTAACTTCCAACCTAATGGTTGAATATTTTAATTATCAAATCACTTCACCACAGGACTATAGTTGATGGTTGATGAATTTTGCCAATCACACACCATATACTATGGCTCGGAATTCTCCACAGTGACTCACTTTCACTTCTTGCCTTCCCATAAAATCTGGGGATTTGTCCTGAAATAATTTTATCTCGCTGTGCTAATATGTTATAACAACTTAAATCAATGTACATGTGTATCAGGCTCTACGTTTTGTATGATGGACTGACATAAAATAATTATTATATTCTTACTTGACGTAGTTTGTTTGTCAATGAATTTACAATTTCACTTTACATGGTGGATATATCATAAAGCATAGATTACTATCTCATTCCTATTGTTTTTTTCTTGAAAAAAACATCGTATCATTGTTGTTTTTTCAGGGCATCTGGTGTGGTATATAGTGGATATGAGATTGCCACTGGCAGTTTAGTGGCTATTAAACAAATGAATTTAGCTCAACAGCCTAAAAAAGAATTAATCATTAATGAAATTTTGGTTATGAAGGCTAATCGTCAAGCAAATATTGTAAATTATCTAGACAGTTATTTAGTGTCCACTTCAGTCTCTACCAATATGGATCATCATCAGCATTACATGAACGGTTCAAATCACAAGTACCAACAATCAACTCACAAGGATGATAGCCTCAATTCATCAACAATTAGTTCAGGCAATTCATCTAAAGGTGAAGAACTATGGGTTGTCATGGAGTATTTAGATGGTGGCTCACTGACTGATGTTGTCACTGAGACGTGTATGGAAGAAGGACATATTGCTTCAATTTGTCGAGAGGTAAGCTTGTGAAAAGAACATATCTGCTTGTTAAAACTGATTTCGTTGTTACCACTATTATTACTACAACACCGTTGGTGAATTACTTAATAATTCAAACGGTTGTAGATGTAAATCTTTTACAGTTAAATCACTTAAATATTTCAAGAATAGCTTAGTGTTTTTGACTTGTCCAATTACACGTCTGACTAGCACTATTAACCTTGATTCAACAGCTAAGTCTCTATTAGTCTGCTAGCTCCTTTCTATGCCCATCCTTTGAATTCAAAATTCACAACCAGCTTCTACTAAAATTATATTCAGACGGACATGGGTTATATTCAGACAAACCGGACCACATCACATTATAAAATAAAAAAAACAGTTTTACATAGACAAGTCAAAAAGTCTGTGATTAGCGTAGACTGTAAATAATAAACCGGCAACAATATAGGGATAGAAAGTCGTATTACAGTAGTTTACGGGTTAACCGAAAGCTTTTAATAAACGGAACACACGTACATAGTAATCTAGTTACTCCGTAAATTATAAAAACGAAGCTATAGTACATAACAATTCCAAAAGCTAGTCCCAACATTTACAATATCTGTTCCGTTATAGCATTATACATATAAACAACTCTGATCGGTAGGTGTGAATTTTTCTGAGGGCTACAATAAACTAGTTGTTCAATTCAGATGTGTGCAGAATTCTAGAGTGATATTTCAATAGGAAGCTATTTTGTACTGTTGAAATAGTTTCATAAAGTTATTTCAAGATTTTCAAAACTGAGTTCAGGAAACTTGTGGTTGATAAAGTATTCACATTATCAGCTGATTATGATAGAACATAGTGCAGAACCCAAAAAATGGATGCATTGTGGAATTCGTTACACTTCATTGACAAATGTGTACAGAAGAAAAATAAACAGATAGGCAACAATTTATATACATAAAATGTGCGTAGATTTTTTCCCAGGGTTAAATGTATATATTTCCAATTTAATCGATATACTTATCACTGCATTTATTTATGTCCTCATATGAGTGTTTTTATATACCCTTTCCGATAGGCTGTCTTGTCGTTTTTGTCTGTCTATTCCTTATTTTGTTCCAAATATTAGCAAATGTCTCTTCGCTCTCTCTCTCCCCTCACTTTTTTAACTTCAGTTTTAAGTTTTTGTTATCGTATCTATTGCTTATCTATCCAATCCATGTTTTAGTCTTACTACTCTCTTCTGGCTAAGTGTGTGTGTATGTACATATTGCCTTAAGGCCATTATGCATTCGTTACTCCAGCTTGCAATGTGTCAGTGAATATACCCGATAAAATATGTCCTCAATTTTTGCTGACCTCTTAGTTTTTCTTCTACAAAACCCATTCATTATGAGCAGAGTAACAAAATCGGGTCCCTGCTATTACTATCTGTAGCTTACTAAAACAGTTCCAATAAACTTTTCGATGATGGACTTCAATATTTATGAGAATTACTGAGTATAATAAAAAAAGACAGTAGATGTATATGGATAACTCAGTCTATCACCAACAGTTATTGATTTAGTTTTCTGTCAGATAATGAGCTCCAACTATAATTGACAGCGTTTTATTCTCAAATTTAACGGATTGATCCATTACTTATCTATTGATATGTTCAAGAATTGTTTTGTTTCCTTGCCTGTTAAATATATTTAAAAATCTTTATCTTATATTTGACAAAGTAGCAATCATATTCTTTGGTATTTTAACCAATGTTTAAATAAATCAATGAGTTCATTTCATCCATCATTCTTTCCTTCAAATATATTCAACGTTGTATCATCTATAATTGTCTTAAAAAACAAATGGAAATTCTATACCGATATAAGGTAATATATTTACTTGCAGTTGCCTAGAGGGAGTTATCTGAATATATACTTTCCCTACGATTTTGACAACGGAAAGAACAATTAGAGAAAAAATCAGTTGGTATCACATCCGAGTTTTTGATTTTTTTCTTTATCCTTATCAATAAATATATGTATCTACATTGTTTCTATAGTTATGTTGATGCAAGTAATTTGTTTTAGTACTGACTTGTGTACTAGTCAGTGTTATACTTATTTTATTCAGTATGGGGCTTTGGAGATTGCTGAATTTCATTAAAATCATGAACTGATCTAAGTTAGTTCACCACTGAAAACCCGGAAGCACTGGACGGCCGTTTCGTCATAGTATGGGAAATGGAAGATGGCCGTGAGTCGGTTGTGATTAGTCATTAACACCGTGATCTGGAGGTTAAGCGCAAGAATCCGAAGGTCCTGGGTTTAACTCTCGCGTGCAGGCTCATGGACGCGTATACCGGGACGAAACGTTCATCCAGTGCTTTTAGGTTTTTAATGGTTGTCTTACCTAGGCCGGCTCATGTTTTACAAAAGTTAGGTGAAAATTTCTACATTTCCAAAAGATCTCGTGGAATGATGAAATTCAGCTACTTAAACCACAAGAGCACTACCGTGTTTAAACTGGTGTTAGGTCATGATCAGAAGTCGCATTGCGTATATTTTGGTCTGAGCGACTGACCGAATTACATATGTCAAACCCTCATAGTTGACCATATATTGATTAAGTAAACCGCAGCATTTTATGTTTACATACATCCTGGTTTTGTTGACTCCTACATTGTAAGGCAGTAGTAACATTACTGACAGACGGCATATATTCCCATCACATATAGTCTTGATGATTATAATGACATTTATTAAAGTACCATGTACGTATGCATGTATCTATCGTATTGTTAGTGAATATTTTCAATTTACTTTTTTATAATAGGATTAAGAAATGAAATATAATTACTGTTAAGGTTAGCTACGAATATGAAAACACTGAATAATAGTTGGCCGTAGTTTGATGTCTTAAAATGATTTCAATGTATTTACCAATGCGTATCCTATCCCATATGTGTGTGTGTTCGCATATGCTTAAACTTCGTATTTTGTACCAATCACTCTAATATAAGTTGTTGAAATTCAATGCACTGGATTTTCGTTATTATTTTATCCTAGATAAAAAAATGTTTTCTTTACTCTGTCATTTTTTTGTTCGAGTAATTTGATAAATACAAGTGGTAATTATTATCAATGCGAGTTTACGAATGTTCACTAAATATGCGAGGTGGGGAGGTTATTAAATCATGATCACCTAAACGACGTCGGATATTTAAAATTATTTATTGTTTTCTTTATAGATCAAATTAGTCAACACAAATTATTTTTTTTACACTACATCACTTGTCATGAGAGTAACTAAATAATTCCAATCGTCAACCCAATGTGAAGTGTTACCGTATAATGTACATTTTGACTTTTGTTTATTATATTATCTTTAATAGATACTTCATGCCCTTGAATTTCTTCACGCAAATCGCGTCATTCATCGTGATATCAAATCAGACAATATTCTTCTTGGAATGGATGGATCTGTAAAACTGACTGACTTTGGCTTTTGTGCACAATTAAGCAATGATGGAACTAAACGTTCAACTATGGTTGGCACACCGTATTGGATGGCACCAGAAGTTGTTTTACGTAAACAATACGGTCCAAAGGTGGATATATGGTCATTAGGTATTATGGCCATTGAAATGGTAGATGGTGAACCACCCTATCTAAATGAAAATCCTGTTCGAGTAAGAATATATTGTATCCTGTCTATATAAATATAGTCACTTGTTTGTAAGATGTGCACATGTATATTAGTTCAGAATTACTCATTCAATTGTCTCATAGTTATGTAGTATCATTTACAATGATTCTCTTGTAAATTCCCTACAAATATTCATATAATACAATTAATCATAATAATTATCAAGTCTGTTTCAATGAACACTGAACTTGAAAGGATTTCGTTAGTGAGTGAACATGTAAAAAGAAAGGCCAATCAAGATTCCTACTGTGCCATGGTTTCGTTTCATGTAATAATTTTTAAAGACATTGGATTATTTGTTCGTTAAAAACGTAACCAGAGAATCATATTGAGCCAGTAAGTCGGTGCAAATATTCATTCTACAGTACCACCCTTTCTCATGGTAGTCCCCAGTATATATGCATCTCAGCGACTTTAAAAGTACTATATATCGGCTTTAATTTTAAATACAACTGAATAGTTCACATTTGTTAAGTTTCCTATTGATACAGCTGACAAGTATTAGGCTTAACATTCAGATCTTAATTAATTGGAGAATGAGTAACATGTAAACTGGTTTCTTCCAATCAACTCTGACATTCTGTCATGTTTATTTTGTGTTCGTAGTCTATGTGTAAGCAAGTAATCGTATAACATAAAAAACCTATTGTTCTGGGTTAATGGTGATTTTAAATCATACATGGGTTTCGTCAGTGATATAGCCTCACAATCAGTCATCACTCGATCACATTTCTGTCTATCAATAGACATTCTTTCATTTTAACAAAATCTTAATATTTATCATTCAATGTTAAACATATCATACTGTTTATACATTGTATTGCAACAATTTGTTCAACAGTTATCATTGATTTTCACATTCTTGTGTTTTTCTTTTCCATCAATTATATTTTAGGCATTGTATCTTATCGCTACCAATGGTAAACCGGAAATTAAAGAACGTGATCGCTTATCAAGCACATTTCTTAATTTCCTTGATCGTTGCCTAGAAGTGGATGTAGAACAAAGAGCTACGGCGAATGAATTATTACAAGTTAGTCATTTTTAATTTATTCCAAATACCGGTTCTTTATACTCCAGTTTAAACATGTAAATTTCAATCATAAATTTAGTAAGACTGGTATATATATATATATATATATATATATATATATATATATATATATATATATATATATATATAACTGCTCAGCAGGACGATAATCCTTTACTTAATGGAATTAATTATTTACTCATTATTTCTCATGCTGATAATCCCTCTGTACATTCTAGTATTACGTACTACACATTAGTTTTGTCTATTTGTAATATAAATCTCTCATAGTTTAATACATTGATAACTTCTTTTGTTTTGAAGATATATTCCTTTAATTGTGTTTTCTTGTTTTTTATCTGTCTTCATAGCATCCATTCATATGCAGATGTTCTAAACCATTGAGTTCATTGATTCCTCTGATCAATTTAGCCAGAGAACAGAAATAATTTAACCTCTGAATCTCAATACAGAATAAAGAAAACCAATTAATTTTTGTATATTGTTTCCTTAAAAAAAATCTCTTTTCCTCACATCTGTTTATTCTGTAATCACAATTCATTTTTACTCTCTATACATGCATATAATAATATTAATGATTCATATTACATAAAACATATACTCTTAGAAAGTAGAAATAATAATATTCACAAACTATGGTTATCAATAATGATAAATAAATCCAATTTACTCATTTTGGTTCTATTCACATTTAAATATTCACCTATTATTATATTACATTTTGAAGTCATGGTAATTTTTCCTGTGCTGTTTCCTTTTTTTTCTCTCTCTCTCTCTCTCTAACATACAAAAAGTACAGCCATTCACTAGATTGTACATTACAGTATTTAATCATAGTACCGATTATGTTTTTTATCAAGGTTAATACCGCTTACTCGCGTTTGTTAAGCTTTCCCATTCACTTTTCTATTCTAATATAATTTTGTTTATAAGTCAAATTATTAACAAGTGTAATATAATAAAGAAAAGTAATAATAATACACTTAGGAATCACAATTAATTACTTAATAATCTCTTCTTAATTAATACACCATTCAAATGAATTAATGTGAACATTCATAAACATCCATTGGGTTTTTTTTTCTTGAATTTTACACATATATGTATTCTATGTGGTCTTAAAACACAACTATTCGCTGTCTTTATACTCACACATTCATCCACTCACTGTTTATCTTCTCGTTAATTGTCAAGTTTTATTTTTATTGCTCACATTATTAAACACATAATGGTTCTTTTTTCTCTTTTCTTTTCTTTCCGTCAAATATGTTTACATACATGATTTTGTAGGGTGTTAAATTTCGAGTATGTTTTTATTGCTTATTCTCAATTTCATTGTCATTTGTACACAATAGATCTGATTTATCTCGGTTGACTGACCAAAAAAAAAGAATAGAACACATTAAAAAGCAGACATTAGGTTTTAACTATTTAAGCGCCTTTTTTCTCTTCGATTAACAATAGTATGTTACATTTAAAATCTTTCACTGATTAAACTGGAATGAAGAATACACTTCTACATGTAACAGTTAGTCAGTAATGATTATCTTGTTGCATTGATTATATATGTGTTAGTGTATTTTTATGTGTACACGTTATGCTGTGTTCCAACCTTCATACATGCATACTTTATTCTTTTAATTTACCATTCCCAGTATCTCACTAATTTTCAAGGGATATTTCTCATACATACAGTAAATAATTAAAAAGACGAACAACTGATTTACTGCTAATGATTTATTTTCAAAATTATCTGCATTTTGTGTACATCTGTGTGCATGTGTTCGTGTACTGCCATTGTCTACTGTATACTCTTAGAAATTTACGTTACTCCATATACATATTATTCTCATCAATTTTCCCCTTTTTTATGCTGATCTATTCCAGGATAGTTATTAAGCCTATTTGAATATGGTAAATCTACTCCATGTATGTATATGGAGTGCTTCGTTATTTATTAGGCAATCACTTAATTATAAATAATATTCTCGTCTCCCGGTTTAGCTATTTATATTAAATTAACTACTCAAGTGGATTGGATATGTGGGTGTATATCGTTAACACCTGTATCATCAGCAAAACTAGTCTTAATGAATTAATGCAAATAAAGGAGTTATATTCACTGTTCTCAAATTTTGTTACTCTTATTTTATGTCATAATTAATGAGACAATAAACAGTTGAAAAAGAATTTATCTTCGTAGAAATCGTTGGCGTCATAGTTCTGATCAATTACTATTATCATTCACATCATTATTTGCAAAATCAGTCAGTTAACATTGTTGCATTGAAAGTTTACCTTTAATTGTGTTTCTATCCATCTTTTTTTCATCCATCTTCACTTGCTCATTTTCATTATAATCATCTATGTGTATTGTTGACATACAGAGAATCTTTGTATTGTTTTGTCATAATTCTTCAAAATAAAGCTTATGCTGCCTTTTCATTTCGTTTTTCTTTTCATGCTTGCTTTACTATGTTGCTGTATACACCGCAGTTTCTTCTCTATATAAATAATACATTTGATTATTACAATCCTTTATGCTGAATTTTGTTTTATGTATTTTTCTTTTTGCTTATTCTCCTTTCGTTAATATGATGGTTATTGTTGCTTGAATACATGTATTTGTTGCCGATAAGCGCACGAAATGTTTTTCCTCCATTTTTTACTATTCATTCTCGGACTCATCATTCTACATCTGTATATGTGTGTGTTGGCATGCGTCACATTCTATTTCATATTGTTGATGGTGGCGATAATAGTAGTAATGGGTGTTTTTGTTTTTTAACTTAGATTTCTTCGGCTTCTTTATCTTTCGGAAAGGAGAGAAGTTGTCAGTAACTACTCGCTTTTCATTATGCATCATTGTACACTTCTTTCTACCACGTTGTACTTGTTTGCTTGTTTCAACTGAAGATCATTTTTTTATGCTGCGAGTGGTGTTGCTACATCGCTTACTTACTACCAATTAAGTGTAAGTACTATGACAATGACGGCTTCTACTTTGTAATGATCTTTTTTATTTTTTTCATTTGTGTTTTTCTTCAACTTTTTATTTGTTGTTTACTCTTCGGAATGACACACATTATATCTACAAAATACCTTTAAAAAAAACTTACTGCTATTGTTTTATTTTTAGCCTTAATTATCCATGAATATACCTGTTTTTTGTTCACAGGCAGAAAATGAATTTATGCCACCTGTTTTTGGATTAAACGAGATTAATTCAGTGTTATATTGAGGCCTTAAAAATAAACTAACTTAATGATGATTGTATTCATGGCCAGAATAATAGTGAAAGTATTTACATGAAAAGTGTACTAACGAAGTTCATCAACCTTGTATAACCTCTATTCGAACACTATTGGTGGAGTTAGAACTTATGAGGAAACTGGAGTAGTGACCGTCAAAATAACTACTTTCCCCACTCTTATATTACCTTGTTATAGACATTCCTTCAAAGATGACGCTTTCATCATCTAATGTCTCGGCGGTTGATCTAGATTACCTTAAATAATAATCTAACCGCTCCTGGAATACGATTCTCACCCTCCATATTCAGAATGTTATTTTAGAACTAGTCTGTATCAACGCCTTAACAAATGTTAAGAATGTCATCAACCCTAGTGAATTAGTGTTTGACAAAATCTCAGCACGGGTTCAGGAAGTTCGATTGGTTTATAGTATAGGTGAAATTTCCAATCTGCCAACCAAGTGAGTTTATTAAACAGTTCACTCCCTCCTACTTTATTACTGTGAAACATGAATATTTAGAATATGGAATCTGCGTAGGTTACTAGTATTTGATTATAAACGTCTTCAGATAATCGCCCGTTTACTTTGTGACCACAGAGTGAGTAATTTTTAGGTTAGGAACATAGTACTAGATAAAGATGGCAAGTCCATTAGTGAGATAGTAAGCTTTCATCGAGATCAGTATACTTAGCCACCTCCTACCTCGTTGGGTGCTGTTGGTCGGAAAATAGCCAGGTGTCGATCAAACTATAACTTATAAGGCACAAAGTTATTAACAATTAGGCTGAGCAAATAAAAATTACATTAACATAAGGAATAACCTAAGTGAGTCGGTACCATTCCCCTGTAATTCTAACTGGTCAGTACATTATGCCAGAATATTCATGTGGTTGAAACCAATGTATCATCTGTATTAAAAGGGGCAATCGCTATGCAGTAAATAGTCAAATTTATTTTAGTCTGTCATTTGTACTCGATTCTGCTATATACATTTACATATAGAATCTTTTAATCAAATCTGATCACAGTATTATGTATGTATGTAATGGTGCGAAATCAGAATGTTTCAACTTTTCATGAACTTTGATTGATGAAAAAAACATACTGTCTTTATTATAATAATATAACCTAGAGATATCTGATTCTAATTTCTCGAACAAGATAAAAATAATAGTAGTAGTTCCGATAAGCAATGGAACTTTGATAATCAGGAATTCAAGGAAAGGAAAGTTCATGCTCTATATATTCACTACTGAAACATTTTATTCGTGGTGTTATGAATAATAGATATTCTTCAAACAATGTATTCTTTATATTTTGATATTAAGGATAAAACGAAGAGATTGGCTGTTTTATTCACATGTTTGCCTATGTTGCATTATTTATTCCCTTCTGTGTGAATAAAAATCATTAAAAAGATAAATAATTCAATATTGTGTTAATTCATTGACTCTTAAAAAAGACTTCAAATTCAGTTCGTAAATACTTTATTTTACAAAATTCTGAGCACAATAATCTCACTTCCTTTAATACATTTCCCATTTGTAATAATACACTTATCCTATTTACGTTTCTAAATTTTAAGACATCCTTCATGGTTACATTCGCCAAATAGATTGTAATTTTAAGTCTCTTCAATAGTAAACAATCAAGGCATCACATGAAATTTTACCAAAAACCATAAGGTCACTTAATGAATACATTGTTTAAACACTAAACTAGTATTTCACATTCTCACCAGTCAAATTATGACTGCATTATAATCTTTAATTATATAAGTAGAATGTATGATCTAATTCCTTGTTTAGTTATATTATTAAATCTTTCCATAATTGAACCCTAGAAAAATTCACTTCAAAGTTACTCATTAGTGAAGATATGCTTCTGAATTACCAAGATCTTTAGTTAATATATATTTTCACAGTTGAAATTGTTATATCCGGTGAAGATTAAATTACAGGTAACTTCCAAGGACTATTCATGGATTAATATTCTATAAATATTCTTATTGTATAACTACTCAACAATTACACTATGTATATTTATATTCCTTTTATGATAAGCTTTATTTTGACCTATAATTTATTATTGTACGATTTACGGTTCTTAAGCTATGCTCAGTCTATTAATTACTGTCCCCCTCATTCACAGCCACTTTTTGGCTTATTTGTGTACACATGTTATTTTCTATTTTATGGTACGTTGTGGTCTGTCTGATTGATATATAAACCGAGTATGTCTGAAATAAACGATTTGATTCATATTACGGATGGTGGTATTGTGTTCTGGACTCAAGTGGAAGGGCTCGGAGGACATAGGACCAATAAGGACGCTAAACTGCCCACACCGGTTGAACGTCATTGGTTGGCCTAGTGTGAAGATTCGTATAAGTCGTATTTCATCCACAACTCCAAACGCGGGAATGAAACCCAGGACTTTCAGTTTAACGCGTAAGGTTATGAATTGGTCGAAGCTAGTTATTAACACTATCGGATGCCGTCTCAGTTGTCTATGGGTTAAGTGTTCACACGGGGTACTGAAAGTTCTGGGTTCGATTCCTTCATTCGGGGTCGTGGATACGTACTGTTGAGGAGTTCCATACTAGGACAAAACGGCCGTCCAGTGGTTCTAGGTTTACAATTGTTGTCTAGCTAAGACCAGTTCACGATTTCAGTCATAAAATCCCACATATAAATATATACTTATTTGGAAATCTAAAGATAAACTTACAGTCGGAACAATTGTTCAATACTCATTGATTTTATAATAATTCCTCAGCTAATGACAACTTATAACAGCAAGTATATTTAAACAATATCATCTATTATTGTTTATCAAAGTATAATAACGTTTTTTATTGTGCATAATCCACTCCCATCTTTCTGTATAAGAAGAAATTTGTCATTAGTATTGTTGTGAATATAGTGGAGAACTGTTTGTGAATTAATTGCTGAAATATTTTTTTATACTTTACTAGCTCATGCTACCAGAGAAATATAGTCACTATTTTAATTATTTCTTTTCTTTTACGCAATTCTTTACATATACATCATACCTAAATATTAATAATCAATCGCCGTTAATATTTTTTATAATTCTATCATCATTGTTACTAAGATGCTTCAGAAATGACAATTAACATCATTAAGTTACATTTCTAACTCTTAATCTACTTGAGTAATTTCAGTAACGATCATGATCATTTTTTTGTTTTAGCAAAACATTGAGGTAAGGATGTTAAAATTTCTTCCATAAGATGTCCACCAGTAGATGGTCACGTGTTATAACAATGAATGTAATATATTTTGTTTTAATTCAGTAAACTTAATTAGGTTTCATAGAACAAAAAGAATGCGGCTAACAATAGAATCTAGAACCAGTGTTTTATTCACTTTGCGACTCATCAGTTGAATTTATCTACATCACAGTGTATATAATCACACCGGTACTAAAATCCAGTATCTTTTGTTTCAACTCCTCAATTCATTATCCATTGAGCTACTGAATCATTGATAGCCATTAACTCAAATCCTATCCTAGTTTGTTTCATTTTTGAAACTTTGTGGGTATGAGCTTGTATATAGGTGAGCATTTTCTGATTTTCTACATAAGTTCATCTTCATTAAACAGCTATTTATGACCGGAGAAAAATAGTTTAACTCATAGAAGTATTCATTTTCTTGCTTGTTAGTGATTTTTTGAAAGATAAGTGTTTCAAAATTGCTGTGGAATACTATAACCTGTAAAGAAAGTTCAAATGAGGGTGGTTTAGATGTCCACCAGTAGATGGTCACGTGTTGTATTAGATTGACTAATTTTAAAATATTGTGAATCTCTAGATTCTCAGTGAATAAAATCGTATTCATTGTAAGACCTAAATATTCTGGCTTCAGAATCATTCGTTATGGATATGAATTTTTGAGGGACTGCTATCCGTAACAAGGCAACTGCTATTTAATTCCTGGTATTTACCCAATGTTGATAATATAATAAAAAGTGATTAAACTCTGAAGCCGCTTGTCTTATCCAACAAAATATCCTGTAGTATTATATAACGAAATGATTTAAGTAAGGTAACCATTGTAAACTAGTAAGCAACGGACATCTATTTCTTCTTAGTATGGGACTCCACAGGATTTCGCGTTTATGACCCCTCCAAGAACTGAGTTCGGAACATCTAAGCATCCGAGATGGCGCTTAACTCGCATACCTTCACAGTTCTCTATAATTAAAAAATCATGTTTTTACTAGTAAATTACTTCAAGCGGCAATTTCAAGGGTTCTAGTAAGATGTCGTGAATGTTTGGCTCAGTAATATCAGAAGGTGGAAGCTATGATCAATGACAACGAATAGTGTCCTAACAGTAACACGAATCGATTGGCGCTTGAAAACCCTGAGTTCGAGCCCTGGTCAAATAACGGGTGCTCACTTCTATGGAGCCCTGTACTAAAAAAGCATCTGTCCAATAACTCCTAGTTCGTTATGATTGTCTAAGATCAATGAGTGATTTAAAAATTCACTCCATAACCCCTTATACTCTAAAATGAAACCTACTAAATAGTTAAGTCTTAATAGAAAAATAATCAGTTTCCTAAAATACATACACATAATTTTTGATTTTACAAAATGCAATGGTTAGTGTCTACGGCTGTTTTTTCTTCTAAAGAAACAGGTTGTCTTTATGTCTATTGATAAAATGATTGATGAAACTGATACCATTTACTATTAATGGTATAATTTTTTAAGTTTGTTCTTTTCAACGTCAAAAACATGTCTATGCATAATAAACCAGTACTGTGTTCTTGTTTGTTGATTTCATGTTTATGCTTGACCAAACTAAATGCACTGATTTCTTACTATCAAGCAGTGTTTTTTTTCTTTTAATTAATGTACACAGATTGATAACCTAGACTTCTGGTAAAGTGTATAATTAAGTAGAATGATTTTTAAATAATTGCTTTAAAACTATAACAAATGACGTGTTGAGGAGTTATTTCTTCTTGAATTTTGTAGATCTTTCAGTAGACAGTTTCAACTACCCTTAGGGTCAGTTGAAATGTACCAATTTAATATTTCCATGTGTAATCGTAACTAAGTTTATGTCTTAACACTATTGGAGCACAAGACGGAAGGTCCTGAGTTTGAGTCCCGATGATGCGGAATCTTTGATGCGCACTTCCGAGAAGTCCCACACTAGAACGAAACGGGCGTTTAGTGCTTCCAGGTTTTCAATGGTGGCCTAATATCAATCGATTTATGATCTAAATCAAAAACTTAACAATCTACACAACCCCATAATGATAAGTATGTCTTTATGTTATAATTGCGGTTGTTCAATTCACTAATTAAGTAAAATACTTAAAATGGTTGTTGGCCTAATTAAATATATGTAGGGAAATATTTTCACCAGATTACTTAGTCAATAAAAAATAAGTAGCTACTTGTTATACAATGAAACATTTTAAACTAAGTGATTATACTCTATAAATATTGTTTCTTTTTACCAATATATATATATATATATATATATATATATATATATATATATCGATGACTTTTCGACTGTCGTCAATCATTAAGGTGAATCTCTTCTAAGTCATAAAATTATTTTAAAATGCTATCTTAAAATATTATATTATTAAGTGGTGAGTATCAGTAATTAAACGCAATAAGGATGTCTCTCATTTGAGAGGACCTGAAACATTCCTTGGTCGAAATGTAGATAAGTGGTCAAAACTTGAAAGGAAAAGTCTATACTGAATGGATGATAATCAGGTTTAATAGTTTCGAAGGAAATCAACAAAGCTAGATGATTTACGACTGTAAATAATCAAAAATGAGGTTTCCGACTGACTGACAACTGAGTAGTGACCAATTTCATGTTTATTTAGTCCTTCAGCGTTAATCGAGTTCCGTTATTTAAATGACTCGACGTTATATTGAATATGTTAAGATGTTAAGTGGTTGGATATAATCAACAGAATTGTAAATATCTGACTTTTACAGAAGATATGTGCTTCCTTGGATAACTAAGTGGTAACGTCTCAGATCATGAAGCTGAATGACACAGAATCAAATATACATGGAAATGCCAGTCATCTCAAGATCATAGATACACCTTGCTGACAAATGCCAATTAGTACAAAATCTCGCTTCGGGATATCCTGTCAACTAAATCAAACCACCGCTTCACATCTCGACATAGTGCACGTAATGTTGAATCACTTAGACTAGTGGCCACATTGTACCTTGATTGATCATCACTAAAAAGAACTTAAGATACCTGAAATTAATCACTACTCAATGGTCGATCAATTGTAAAAAAAATATATTTCGGAAGTACAATTCTCCTTAAAACTCCATATATATATGAGAGGGAGGGGGGGGGTTCGACAAATATGTACTTCACCCTTAAGTAAATAATCACATTTATGCAATAGTCTGAAATGTCCGAAGACAATTTATTATCAGTGTTAAAAAGGAATAGATCACAATTTAAGATGAGCAATGAAACTGATAAGAATAAGTTTCTTTTTTGAAACAAAAATATTTTTTGTAAACATCCGTTCTTATAGAAATCAATAAATAAATCTTATTCTCACTGTAACATATTTATCTTGTTTCTTGTTGTTGTATTTCTTTTATCAAACAAAAGTTACTTTTTATTTTCGTGAATACATTTTGAAAACCAATTTAAATGAAAGTTATTTATACCGAATTAAATTGTATTTCAAAGTGAATTCGACCCGACCAAAGTAGCTCGTGCTAGTTCAGCTTCTGAAGGTTTATGCAAGTGGATATTAGCCATGGAACAGTATGATCGTGTAACTAAAATTGTAGCACCAAAGCGTATTAAATTAGCTGAAGTTGAATTAACAGAGAATATGGCATGTTTAAAAAAGACACAAGATGCATTAGTTGAAAATGAAGCTAAATTAGAAAATTTACAAAATCAACTTAAATCTACACAAAACGAGAAAAAACGCCTGGAAGATGAAGTATCAAATTGTGCAACTAAATTAGAAAGAGCTACAAAGTTGATAGGTGGCTTAGCTGGTGAGAAAGACCGTTGGCATCAAGCAGCTAAATATGTTGAAAAATTATATGATAATCCTATTGGTGATGTACTGATATCAGCTGGAATAATTGTTTATTTGGGACCGTTTACATCGAATTACAGAGTCTCGCAGGGAGTGGGATCGTGGATGCGCACTGCCGAGGAGTCCCATACTAGGACGAAACGACCGTCCAGTGCTTCCAGGTTTCCATCGGCGGTCTAACATCAACTGATACATGATCTCAATAAAAAAGGTTGTTTTTCTTCATTATGTTTACCTACGTTGTTATAGATTTAAACATATTTTACACTTCAATCATCAATAGCTCTGATTTGTTTCAAATGTCAATTTATCAAGAGGAAGTTGTCCATTAACTTCCGTAAGATGATTTAGTCTACAAAGAATAGTGTTCAATTCACATTTCGAAATTCAGTGTTAAGGAATAATAAATTTTGTAAACACTAAACGCATTTTATAAATGAAAAACAATTTATAAAATCAAACGTATTAGCATAAATGTTCTACATTCGCTGACCAACTAAAGCTCGTTTGAAATTCTGTATATATTACTGCATGAGTGATTTATGAATTCTGCATACTGAGTTGTTCTCCATTCTGACTATTAGGTGAGTATGAGTAACAACATTCTGGACTAATAGCCACTTAGTGTTTTTAGGCTATTATCTCACATTTAGCGTAACATTAGTACTAGACAGATAGCTTAAGGGAGTTAACTAATACTTGGAATAGATCAATACATCTACTCTCCTATCTAACAGTCCGGTCTCAAGAGCCCCAAGAAACACATTCCTCATTGTTTTTTCTAGGAATATCGACGCAATACTTATTGATAGAACAATTAACTTCAAAATGTAACAAGACGAAATTGAGTCACGTCTAATAGGTTTCAAACGTATTTTTAATCGTTGTTGTTATGTAATCACTTCAAATAACTAGTCAAATTCTAGACTTAGTTTTAGGCTTTTCAGTATATGCTTATGTAAACACTATGGGCAATTAACTGAACACTAGAATGAAACTTTAACCAGCCATATATTTATTAAACTTCTTATTTTAACAAGCTTTCATCTGATTACTTGGTAAACAATAAAACTCAAAATTACATAATTGTATCTTGTTAACCAAACTTATTCAGAATTAAAATTCTATTCAGAACAATTGAGGCATTTGTTTTAGTCGATTTTACAGTTGTGAAATGACATCACTGAGAAAACATGTATTTGAGAGTATATAACAAATAATCTGAAATATGCTAGTCCTAAATAGTCGAAACTTAATCGACTGAAAATAGTGTCGATATTCTTAAATCTCTCAAAGTAATTAACAGACAAAGAAACGCTTAGCTAAAGCAGAAGCCAATGATCTACTCGAAATGAACCTATACCTTTATAAAGAAACAGTTGTCTACTTAACACTGCTATAGTGAACTGATATTTTCCATCATACCGTCTTTATAATTTTTGTTCTTATGTTATGTTATAAAATATTTACTAAGTTGATCATCATTTGATCCACTTGAAAATTAACTTCAATCAGCGGTTTTCATAAATACAATTCTTAAAATTTTATCCAAACTCGTCAAATTTTCGAGAATTGCTGTGCAGTGCATCTCATCAACTTTCCATCATAGATAAGTGCTGTTGTATTCCGTTTGTATTGACTTAATCTATGTTCAAACGATCTTAAAAATGCATATAAATTATATTATACTGATAACCCGTATTACTTCGACCATTCAGACACCGTTGTTTGCTATTCAATGATAATGTTACTTTTCAGCGCGAATGAGATTAAAAGAAAATCGTGATAACCTACATATTATTATGCTTAAGTTGTTGTTCTTTGCTTTATTCCAATTTTATTCTAAAGATGCTTTGTGAAAATGTTTATTTTTGAAGATTATATACATCATGAATCGACATTAAAATGTAGTTTGTAAATCAAGGATCATTGTAGATCTGTGTTTAATTGGATTTCAAACTCGTTAGTTACGTTCCACATGTGATCAGTTCAAGATATTCTAATTTCGCCATGGAAAGCACAATATATTTAAATCCCTGAATTAGAGTTGAATGGTTAGTATTCAGACGATCATTTAATAACTCTTACAATTGTGACAAGGTTGAACTCCATTAGTCAAAATTTTCACTAAAATTAAAGGAATCCATCTCGGTGTTAGTCACCAGTGAGTACAACACTATTGTTTATGAAGTAATTAATACGGTCGGAATAAATATTTTTTTACCACGGATGGACTTATTTCAACTCAAAGTTCTAAAAATATTATGCTCATTGTAAAAAATCAAAGTCTTAATTTCGACTTCTTATTCTTGTGAGTGATCACTGCTGAGTAGTTTAAAACTTGAACGAAGAAGCTACTATCATCTCATGATGAACACCATTTTGTTTATTTTTTAAAATGGGCCCAATTCTTTCTCTACTTAAATAACGACCGCTATGATCTAAATAACTAGTTACTTCCATACGCATTCAGTGACTTGTCGACTGTTGACATCAATAAACTAGTTTTGTACACCAGAAAACGTGCGACAATATTTCACATATTAACAATGCCATCGGCATACATATCCATCGATGGAAATAAACGAAAACAGAACAAGATGCAACTATCAACCTTAAAAATAGAATATTTCTTCGAGAAAAAAAAACACAAAATAAACTATTTAGTTAGATCATATCATTCATTTCATTAACAATAAGAAAGTGTTCGCCCTCCGCCTTACAAAAAAAGATGTGATGTAAACAGGAAAGAAAAGAAAAACAAACAAAAAATGAAAAGTGATCTTCCAATTGCTTTGATAATATTCTTCACTTCTCTCAACACAGAAGTGAAAATGTGTATAAGTTTTTTTTTCAAAAGAAACCAGAAATCAACAACCCATAGACAACAGGAAGACACAAGAAAGTTAAAGAGTAAGCGAAAAGCGAAGACATTATACACACACACAGAGGGAGAGACAGAGAATGAAGTATCAATCATGTAATTCAACTCAGACAGAAATTATTATCATTAATGCCGTTATTCGCTTATTTGTCAAAGTTATGAAGGAAAATTTTTAGATTTTTTCCATTAAATTGATATGAATTTTCCTTGTCTCTCCTTCCTTAACTGATGTTTGGTTCAATTTCAACAATCGAGAAAAGGGAGGATTAAGTTCTGAATGAAGGGAAGTAAATAATACGAAATGATATATTAATTCATATGGATAAATTAAAAGTACTGAGATCAAATTACATTATTACATAAGTTTGATTTATATTTAACATGTATATTAAGTACCATACTGTTTATCAACACACATTATGTACATTGGTTTAAGAGTCAATGTTCTATTGAATGCACATCATAGGAAGCTATTAAAACGGATGAATATCAGGAAACTTGTAACTTGAGGAATTACCTTGTGAAAAATTATCCTTTATATTTTTAGTATGAAAAATTTGCAGTATTTTTACAGTTGGAATCATGAAATGATCTTAGCTACATTACTGTTAAAAACCTGAAAGAAATGCGCAGGGCTTTTGTCCTAATACAGGAACCCTCAGAAATACTCATTCACGACCGTACACGCGGGAATCGAACATAGGACCTTCGGTTTTTATTGTACAATTGTTAGACATTTGGATTATTGTATCCTTATGTTATCTTTATTGTAATCTTTTTTCCGCATATAGACTATCAATATATGTTTGATATTTTTAAAGTTACTATCCACTGATTACGGACCTACTGCTTATGAGCGCACTGTAATTCCCTATTTATGTTGGTCGGTGGTCAGGTCAGGATGTAACTCTATATTACTGCACGAACTGAGTCATATAACTGGACAGCTACACAACACGGATCTTATCTAATTGCTAATCTTGTCTTTCGAATAAAAACGGGGTTAGACGTAGCTCGAGGGCCAATAGGTGTTAAGGTTTCATCCGTTGTTCATTGGTCATTGGTAAAATCAAAGGTCGCCGGCTATACAGGCGTAGAGCGAACTAATCAATAATCAGACTAGAGAATACTACTGCTCCTTTAGTAAAGGCCCGATCATACTTGCTACAATATAATTCAACAATCTGTTCTTTTTGAAGGTACAACGGAAACACAGATTTTTTCTGGCTGAAAAACAAATAATAAATGACAAGACAGATGCTGTAAGTGAGAATATATATAGATAGGATAGCCAGTTAATCAGTCATTGAACAACTTAGGGCTCAAGTCAAATGATCACTTCATGGGCGGATGAAATTGCTAAATTATGTTAAAATAGCTGATACACTGAAAAACCTCAGTTTTTTTTATATCGCAATATGTACTAATAGATATTGATTTTAAAAAGTTAACTCTTTATTAAAGTGGTCAAATATCCACTATAAACATCCCAACAAAACTTGGAATTTCGATGTAGTTGCCTAACACAAACTATGTCACCTATGCGTCCAGAGTGAATCAAAAGATCTCCAGGTAGATTATTTCATAAGGATTTATAAGAATAAATAGTTGCGTTACAAAATATATCTCTGATAAAACTAAATGGATAATGACACAAATTTCAATATCACTTAATTGTTGTACTCTGGTGTTGCGAAAAGAAGATATCACCTCACCTAGCTGTACACAGTCATAATATACATGAAGAAAATCCACTTAACCATCAACAATACAGTAGTATATAAATATACACTAATTTTCTATTAACTCACTTACCAGATACTTGAATGTAAGCCATATTTCAAGTGTTAAGGCTAATTATAGTATGCGGTTGCTTAAGCCCAAGTAGATGGGACAGGGTTCAAAGTTGGGAATTAGTGAAAGTTGGACACTTTAACGATTAAGCCATCACTCAACATAAATATTATCGTTTAGATATTTCTAAACAGTTTATAGAATAATAATTGACAATAATACTAACAGAATCAATGTCACCTACAATTCTGATCTTCTTGAGGAACTTCTATTGTCACTACTGGTGGTGGATTCACCGATTCATCTACCACAATAATATCTTCTGGTCGAGGTGCTTTAGGTGGAAATTGACCATCCCAAACCGCATCAATTGTAGTATACATAGATGATCTACTAGTCTGAGATGTACTATCATCATTGTTTGTTCCACTCGTTGTTGATGCTAAGTTTTGTGAATTGTTTGGCAAGCCTAGAATAGAAATTATTTTACGGAATATCTCTTCTGCCTAAAATAAATACAAAAACATAATATGGAAAAATGTTTAGGTTGTTTATACCGATAAGTTTAGAATAAACGAAAATATTATCAGGTCATAATATTAAAAAAAAATGAAAATCGGTCAAACTCAAAATCAGAAAAAATTCAATAATAATAATAATAAACCATAGTAAACAAATTAAATCCTCTTTTTCAAGATCAAATAAATATACATAGTTGTTTAACTGATATGGTTACTCGATTTCGTATCAATATTTATTATATGCATTATATTATCTTTTGTTATGTAAACAACAGTACAACTATATGAAAACATAGTTTAAATTGATGTTGTAGAATCAAACAAAAACAAGCAAACAAAAGATTGAAAAAGTTCATCAACAGGATAATTTAAACCAACGTAAATTGAATTGAAATGTATACCCTTCGCACAAGTTAATACCTATCCAAACTTAGTAGATAAACGGATAATAGGGTTGGGTCTTTGAAGTGAGTGGTACTGGGTTCCAATGTCGGTGTGAACATTAACTCTGGGATGCATGTAAATTCAGTTGATGTGTCGTAAATAGGACGAAACGTGTGTCCTAGATTTCAGCTGTTAGCTACATTTCATCTATTATATAAAATAAACCTTGAAAAAAGTATATAATCGGAGTTTGTAAAGTTAACTGTTATTTGTCACAGAATGACCAATCATCTAAAGAACCGATAAAAAAGCAGGAAATATTAGAAAGCCGTTTCATTTGAAGGAGAACACAATACCTTCAAGTCCAAACCCACTGTTTTACATTCCCGATATTAATCATTTCGAAATGTATTGCAACAATTATCCGATCTCACCCATCGTCCATGAAACCGATTTCTATGCCAACATGACTGAACTCCACCACTACTGTCAAACAAGGTACCAGAGAGAACGGAATGTTAATTTTGGCGAAATTACAGTGTTTATCTAACATTTGTATTTTGAGGTTTGTTCTGCAATCAAGTTATTTCTAAACTGTCTTCTCTACTCTTCTCTAAGTGTTCTAACTACGCTGTGATTTTTGACGGACTGAAACTTTTCTTTCCATCTAGCGACTGTGATAGTTCCAAAGCCACGTTCCACTACACGTTAATTAAGAGCAATATGTTAGTAGTATTCACCAAACTTGAATACATCTTCATATAAATCATTCACCTAAATAGTACTTTAATATTCTTTGATTGTCTAAAGTGAATTTTCATTCGTCCCAGTTACCAACACTTGCATTCATTATAAAAATCTTTTACTGTTCATAAAAATGTAAATTTTAATAAAAATTACAATTATAATGAAAACCATATCGTCTGATTTCTCAATCAATAAGTAGTCAGTTGGTGATATACAAATTAGATCTACTAGAAAACTAATAAATGAATGAATACCGTGTAATTACTATTGTAGTATATATATATATATATATATATATATATATATATATATATATATATATATATAGAGAGAGAGAGAGAGAGAGAGAGAGACTATCAATAGACTGCAATAATTGTTATGCAATATGCTGCCACATGTAATAAAACATCATTTATAAAACATGAAAATATTTCATGCATGCATTTACTATCACACACACACACACATCCAGCCTACATATTTACATACTAAAAATATGAAGTATTATCTCTTGAAATGATCGCAAAATTTTGGCCGAATGCTTTAAAACACAAATCGATTGAATATCAGTAAACGCTTATTAATAGACAACAAAAATTAGCAAATGTGTAGTATTCACATAAACCGTACACTATGTGTATGTGTGTATTGTACACATAATTACTGATGTAAAAGATAAACAGAGAAACTAATACACAATTAATCATTAAATACAAACTGAAGTAAACATGATAGTCATTAAAATGAAGGGTTAAAGGCCAAAATTAAAGACATTGATTTCTTCCGGATGATTAGTTATCAAGGAGGTGAAGAAAAAAAAATAATATCAATGAATGATAATCTATTCACTATAAGTATTGATGCAAAATAAAGCGAGAACAGATACACATAAGCGTTAACAATAGAAAACTACCCACCTAAGCTTTTACTATTGGGGTTGTAAGTTTTCTCTTTAAGTTGACAAATATGTATATTTATGAATACGTGTACGTACATCCTCGATTAGATTTAGCCTATATATCTTCATTGTAACTCAAGAAGCCGGCTGGGCTTGTGTATAGGAAACTTGTTTATCAGTATTAGAATCGGACACCGCACAACGCAACACCGATTTATCTTAATGTAGCCGGCCGATAGAGTTAACACTTAAAATAATTAAAAAAACAGTTTGCCAAGATTCAACCAATAAGATTGGTATGAATAGTAATGCAGTCAAGAAGAAATTTCGTTTCATTTTCCTGAACCGTAATCGTGCGTAAGATTGATGGTTAATATTTGAAGGAAAATAAAGGTAAATGAATACATATGCACTATGACAACAGATTTTCAGTCATTTCTTTTTATGAGAGATAACAATTATATTGAGAACTTCAAACTAGGGTATGAGCCTTTAAACACGGCTCAAACCAACCTCTATGACTTCAATGAGTACCTCTGTTTGGTCACCTCTAGCCTTTCGCTCATCTGGTTTAATAATGGTTGAGGTGTTTGATTTTGGGAAATAGGTACATAACACAAACACATTATCTGCTAACAGCATGAAACATTATAAGCTGATTTAATATTTTTATCAAGCATAATTCATCATTACTCACTTCAACATACTCAGATATAATCAATGTTTCAAAACACATCTGTAAATGATCAGCAACAACACAGAATGGGTCTTTCACTTTATCAGGTCATGTTTCACATACTTATTCAAAGAACTATCAAAGATAATATTCTTATCATTTAGTATCATTATCGTCAATGCACTTTCATTTAAACACATTAAGTACAAACAATCATAATTGTTATACTCTACTACATTTATCCCTATTTGTTGGTTATATAATTTACAAAATGTGAATAATTTCATTTAGTTATAAAACATATCTACCTATTTTACATGATAACAGTCAAATGTGAACCTTAGGACTGACCAAAAAAAAGTCATCCGGATTAATTGTGTCAGTAAATAAATAACATGAATGAATTATTATTTACAATGAACATTGAAATTAAACATGAAGTTTAACATTGAATATCATATTACTATTATAAAAATAATAATATAATACCATACAAATATATATGCAATTATTAAAAAGTAATGAAATACACAAATCAGTTTCCTACACTTAATAAGCGATATATGTGTGAAATCACATGGTTTTAAACTAGGTTAATATAGAATAAAATAACCAACTTATACAATAAATTAACATTTTTTTCTGTTACCATGATAAATTTAATACGGAATCAGTTATTTGGGAAAATAAAAATGATTGGTAAGGATTCGAATTATTCCGTTATTGATTATGGCGACTGAATTTTGATATATGTGAATTCTATGTGGATTACTACGATTTAATCATTTTGTCGATAGGATAATTTAAACTCTCAATGATATAGGTATCATATGTGTTGAACACGTTAGTGAATATCCGGTTTCAGTAGCTCAGTGGATAACGCACTGCTATTTCAGACGAAGAGAAATTGGTTAGGGTCTCTAAATAAACAACATCCGCTTGACGAGTCCGAAATACGCCAAAATGAATCCCACTACTAGCTACAATCTATTTACTTTAAAACATGAGACCTGTGCTCTAAATTCATTACATATAAAACAATATAGGTGTACATCTTTGAATATTTAATCGGTTTGTTTTGCAACAAACGAACATATGACTACAACACGATTCGTTGGTTAAACCTTGGATATTTTATTGATATACATCAACAGATACTAAATAAGAACTGGATATTTTCAATGTAGATATTTAGTATCATTTAAGTAGTTAAACTAGGCAATACAACATTAACTACAAATTGATTAATCTCCTACATTACAGATGAAAAATAAAATTTTAATAATAAATAACCTATGAGTTACATGATTAGCAATTGAAATCTTTGGGATTGTTAACGATTAAAAATGGTTGATGAATGAACGATCACTCAATGAACTACAAGTTAATACCAATAAAACAATCTTTTAAAAGTTAAAATCGTTAACACATTTGTTGACATATAATTACCACTTAAACTTTTAAAAAACACGAAGTTCAACCAAGGGATCTTTTTTCAAAGAATTTATTATCAAGCTGTACAATCGCATATATTTATGAAAATTTTGTTAAAGTCTAGTTTCATAAGGACATATGAACAGGGAATAAAAATGAAGATGTAATAGAAAGATTAAAATACTAGATCATGTAATGTGAGTAATAATAATAAAATATTATATGTGCAATTAGAAAGCCTTGTAAAATCAATAAGTTAGCAATGGATTATAGTGTGAACGAAGTAAGATCATTAAAATATTTTAGTTATAATAATCAAAGGTAATAGAGAGGTTAAATAAAATGATATCAGAAAGCAATTATAAATAAAATCATGAGGATATGAAACATAATTAAAGATAGGGGGATATTTCAAATACAAAATATAATAATAATAATAAAGACCGTTTAAGGCCATAGTATTGATATAGATGACACGTACGTCTTTGATACATATATACGATTGTACAGCTTGATATTATATATTTGATGCCGTGTACCATAAAACTTTTCACTGGACAACTTTTTCTTTCAAGTTTGTAAGTTTTGCAGCAATACGGTGGAAAACAAACTACACCAGGAATTAGGTAGATATCACGGATAACATTAAATGATTAAGTCATGTTGCGAATCGATTTAAGTTGGTTCAGTTTTTGGGCCTACGTTCATTTTCGTGTGGAGTCATGAGTATGAGCAGCTGAGGAAAATTTAACTGAAACCAAATAGTTGTCAATATACCTTTTGTTTTAATTGATTTCCTAGCTATTATTAGATGGTAGTGAAAACGAACATCAAAGACATTGTTAA